CTCCGGTGCAATGTGGGCTTGGAAGTAGACAGTGAGCCGACCTATATCCATAAACCGTGTCACATTGTGCACTTCCACCTCATACTGGCTTGTGACGCTCAGTCCGACCCCATCCTTGCCGAGCTGACGTGTCCAGACAGACCCTCTGTCTGCAAGATGAGCATCGGACACGCTATGAAGCGCTACTATATATCAGATGGTAGCCTATGCGTACCTACGTTCTGTCTTACGGTCAAGGAAAGAAACAGGTTCGCGGTGATCGTCGTCATGGGAAGTCTTCTTGGCAACATTCAGTAATCCACGAAGCTCGTCGTGATTAACCTTCGACCGATTCATCAGCCAAAAGGATTTCTTCCATTATTGCACTCGTGCTTTCGTGGTAGACGCGTAAATGAGTGACACTGCGTAATTGTAGCACCAATTCCCCTTCCACTTAATCCTGAATCGTCCTAAAGAGACGAACCCGCTCCTAAGAATCGAGGACAGTCTGCAAAAAGTCGGAAAGATGCCTGCAAATTAAAGTCCCTTCCGTTAGGCCGCTGACAATTCGCCGCTCGTCTGCCTTGCCTTCTCGGAGCCGAAGTCCACTCCGTGCCGCCAATAATTGCTGACAGAGCTCCCTCAATGTCGCATCGCAATTTCGGTCTTGCTCTTCATTGCGGGATCAAACATGAATTCTCGGTGAAAATTCGGCTACCCTAGAGAAGCCGCGGTGTCCCCCGCTCGATCTGTACTGAGCTGTCCAGGCGGAGTCCACGTATTCAGAGGTTTTAAACGGGCCCATTTTTCCTTGCTGAGCATGTTCTGCACAATGTGCGTAAAGGATCAGCCAGTGTTGTACAACGCGCGGGTGGCCGCAATTAAATGCCGGTATCAATCGACGAGCGAACCCCCACTGCCGATGCACGCCTGATCAAAGAACGTGGATAACAGATTTTTTTCTTTAGTGCGAACCTTCGGGTATCGTTTCTTTCCCGGTGGTATAAGTCCGTGTTCATGAGAACCGTAGCATGAGTAATAGAAAACAATCCCGCTATGGTCACTGTCCAAGCGGTCCGAGGGCGTTTTATAGTCGCCGCTCGGCGCGCGGCGACAATAGCCACAAACCTCTCCTCTGGCCGCACCGCGAACGCTGGCTGGCGCGACGGCAATGGTGGTTCCGTATGGCCGTATGCGTGCTCCATCTGAAGATGATGCACTCAAGGTAGAATTGAAGACATCCTTTGATTCCCCGGGTCTTGATCGCCCGTCCACGGTGCTACCCCCAGGTAGCATCGGTCCGGTCGCAGGCTCGAGGACCGAGATGGGCGGTCGTCGTTGGGCGTAGGATTATCGCTGGAAGGCCTGCGGGGACTTGGTCGCCTGGGTCCGGCGGCCGGCCACTGAGGGCAGGCATCTCCCCCCCGGTCCGGGTCTGCAGGAATGCGCATGCCGTCGGAAGACGACGAAAGGATGCATGGGCGTTGTCCGAAAGAGCGTTGTAAGGCGTGTACGTAGCTACTTCATGTCAGCTGGCACGAGGCTGTCAGGGCAGTGCAAAAGGCGCTGCAAAATGAAAAGTAGCGCGGGATAGATTAACGTCTCACTTCTCGATTGATATAGCCACCGACGAGGCCCCCGTCGGAGTCCTACACGCGTCTGTTACTCGTTTAACACAAAAGTGATTAGTAATCGTTCTTTAGATTCTAACAATTCATTCGGTTCAGTCGGTACTTTTAGCAGTTTTACGACCTGTTTCTCTCCTTTTCGGCTTGGGTGTATACATTGCTTACCGCTCGTGGATATTACGCGCCACACGACAGGCGCCTCTGCTAGATGCACTAGGTGCTAGCTGTCCGGATGGTTCCAATTATTCGTTATTGGAGGCTTATGCTTCTTTGAGAGGCCTTACTCGCTGATATCAGGGTTCCCGGGTAGACCAGCAGGGCTAGAATGCCATTCATTATATTTAGCACCTTGGGATGGTCAAAGGGGGATTTGACCCCGCACCAGTCAGTTGGAGCGGTCGAAGCATTTCCGAGGCACCAGGGAAACACGTCGTTTGAGCAGTCGTATGCAATTGACTTTGCAACAAAATCGTCAATCTTTCTTGTCGGTATGCGCATAGATTACGCCCTGCGATTGAGCAAGGGAGCTGTAGCTCGCTGCGACTATCGCCAGGCGAGACACAAGGAACGACTTGCTGCGTATGGTATGTGCCAAATGTGGCGCTGTCTATTTTCGTCTACTTTTTGGACACTGCAAGTGCTCGCAGGTGAAACTGGTGGAAGTGCGAGATGCACTTGGATCGACCCCAGATATTCAATCTACACTAGAGCGTACATGGAATGTTCTTTAGGGCTCTATGTGTTGTTGTATTAGGCAACACAAAGATATAGGTTGGGTAGTTCTCACTTGTATTTTCACTTGCCACTGACGAGGCACCTGGCGGGGGGCCGAAACGCGTCTGGCGCGCGTTTTAAAACAGGTCATTTTATTCACTTAATGTTCACTTTCTCATAGAATTGCCCTACAAGCTGTCTTGTGCTGGCAATCTAGTGTTTAGTAGACATCTGCCAGTGTTTAGTGGACATCTGCTAGTGTTTAGTGAACATCTGCTGGTGTTTAGTGGACATCTGCTGCTGATACTTAAACGGGGGCGTCATTTGCAAATGGTTGACATATGGCCTCTGGCAAGGACACTCGTCCACACTTCCGAATTTGGGCTCTTCGAGCAACAACGGACCGAGACGAAGACCTCCTAAGGGGCCAGATAGTTATCTGGCCCCCTTACCTTGGACGGGAAGTCCCCCCTTAGTGGGGCCAAGGTTAAATGGGGGGAGGCATTTTCTCCGCTGCGCTTGCTACGGGAGGCACCGCAGCGTGCGACCCGAGAGAGAAGCAATCTTCCGGAATCCCGCGGTGTGGGGCATATCGACGGAGTGTCGAATCCCTGCACTCAAGGCGCAATCGAGTTCCTGCTATACTCCGTCCGCCTTCTTTGTCGCCGATCCGTTCGCCTACCGCGGATCCCGGTCCCACGAAGGGTACTCGCCTAGAACGTGATTCTGATCGGAACCGTCCAGGTGCACCAGCGGTCTATCGGGGGTGATCGGTTTGGTACCCGGCGTTTTCTGCGATTTTCGCGCCCTGTCTGCCCCCAGGACTGGATACCCGTTTCCACGTGCCCTTTGCAGAATGCTTCCCGTGAAGCCCGACGTCTCGAGCAAGCAGAATGAGAAAGCGAGGAGAAGAACGACAGATTATGGTGGAAGATTGGGGAGAGATCCATACAGACATCTGAGCGCAGTCATAACGACCCAATAGACAGTCTGGTCCTCCTCAAGGACACTCGTCCACTGCATCTAATGTGTTGACGATACCGATAGGTACTGCGCAGTAAACACAAAAACGGCATGATGCTCCAAGCACTTTCCTCGCTCGACTTCATAACTCATGCCAACATATTACAAACGCATGTTGGTAGCGCGCAGTACCACGCGACGCCGTGTTTGAGATGCGGCGTACAAATTGTTCGCTTGTCAAAAAGGTGGTACATGTCCGACGCGCATTTCTTGAGGTACTACCTAAGCCATTCGTAGCATCATAAGCTCACTCCCTCTCTCTTGTACTATGTACAATCTCATACATTGGCGCACATGATAGAGCAGCGATAGCACACCGGCAAGGACACCTCGTAGTTTCTAGCTGGCTGTACAAAGCTACCTAGCCAGAAACTAAGAGATGGAAGAGAAAGCACTGTGTGCTCCAGTCCTTTCGCCATAACCCGTGCTCAAGTCTTACTAATCGTACCACTAGTGCCAAGAAATGTTGCTGCTGAAATCTGCAGCAGCTTCGCGGCCTCAACATTTAGTGAGGCTTTCCTTACGACTTTCGACGCGGACGAAAGCAGTAACAACAGCCACTCAGTCGCTCGATAGTACATCGACGGATTTGCTCCTGTGGAAAGGCGGGGCGGGTATCGTCTCCTCGTTCGTGTCGACACGACGCAGCGGTCGTCGAAAGAAAGTCGACGCGTCTTCAGTGACAAGAAAGTGGCCTGTTTACTGACCGCACGAACGTTGTCGTGTCGGGAAGGAGCTCGGAAATTGTGTGCGGTCCAGAAGTTTTTTGCACTTCGTAGGAACGCCGGGTTGCTCTCAGTGGATAAACAGCTGCTTGGACGCTAGAGCAGTAGCTTTAGCCTGATTGCGTGAGAGAGAGAGAGGGGGAGATACTTGTGCCTGCGTCCAAGCGCCCTGCAAAGGATTGTCATCATGCTCGATCCAGAAATCGTTTACAATTGAGTGTCCGGATAGCATAATGTTGTCGCGCTACATGCGACGTACAGTCGACAACGCACCGTATGTCGTGCCGCCATGTGACATTGTCTACAACATGGGCTACAAACAGACGACGGGGTCACTCCAGCCTCTACGCGACATAACCACATTTTCCATCCCCCACACACCCTCCGTCGATCATTGTACGACCAAGCAAGTCTTTGGCTCATCGCGGAACGACCACAGCTATTGCTTCGTTCGACGCCAGCAGAAGAGAGAGAAACATGAACCTCCGTCGATGGGCCCTGTCGGTCTTTGTGGGTTTCTTCGGTCTCACGAGCACCACCTCGTTGAGCAAAGTGCAGGCTTCTGAGTGTCAAAACACGAATAAAATATTCAACTTTCTTGTGGACAACCTGCCAACGGCCTACGGTCTCAACACTTGCGTGGCCAACAACGTGGGGGAATTCGGCAAGGCACTTGCAAGCACCATTTTCAGCAAATGTAGCCTATTGGACGTCTACGACGTGATCAAGAACGAGGACTTCCACAACTTCGTCGGTTTGCTGAAGAGCATCATGGAAAAGCCCACCGAGATATCCCGACTCATGTACGAATACATGTTGTACCACAGTGACGACGCCATGGACGACCTCTGCGATGCCTTCAGTGGCACATTTGGACCGTGCGGCGGGAAACTCATCCCGAGTCTGCTGCCTGTGTTGCAAAAGGACGACAAATGTTGCGCGGAATTCAGCGATATGATTGACATGCTGAACATCCTTATCGCACCCGACAAGAGTATGGGCTATTTCATGGTGAACGAGCTCATCAATGGTTTCAACCAAATGCTCTGCTCAAAAACGGGTCGCTATTCCTGTGGACTCCATATCTTCAAATCGTACACGAGGATGTACACGCTGGAAAACTTTGACTTTTTCCAGCACATGGTGATGCCGTTCATGACCATTGGCGCCGGTGAAGAATGCGCAGCTTTCTCGGGGAAACCGTACACGGACACGGCGTCAAAGAAGACTGCAACTACCATCGATTACGGCTGCTGTGTTCACCACATACGGAATTTCATTCAGACGATACAAGGCGCCGTTAAGAATGCTGTCGGTGACTCAATATGGGACGTTGTTGGTGGCATGGTCTCGTTAACGGCTCCTGATGGCGCTTTTGTCGACACTCTTTCAGGAACTCTGGAATGCCAGTACGATAGGTGCAAGAACCCGAAAGGTATGGCCGGTGATGTTGGAATGCACCGTCCCGTTGGTGCAAACGACCCGGGCAAGAACAATTTGGTCGACACGAACTGCATCCTCGTGGAAAAATGTAGCGGAGACAAGTCCGTGTGTAGCCGCGTGTGCGAAAAAGGCTCAGTCTATGTTCCGGTCTGGCTCAAGTCGACTCTAGCTTACCAGCGCAATCTGGCGTTCAGCGGTCCGATTTGCCTCGCGCAACTTCCTGCTACGCACAACAGCGCTATCACCTTAGCTGATGGCTTCGGAAATCGTGATCAGCTTTTCAACAAAAACCTGGATGCAGACAAGCCGTGGTCATACTTGATGACTAACAACCAAGTGCTAAGTTTGACCGACCAGCTCGACATTGGCATCCGCTTCCTTGAGATTGACGTCCACTTTTTCCTGAACGACTTACGCAATGGACACTGTGGTAATCTTGACATGCCTGGTTTGATGGGGTTCATCGAAACATTTGGCAAGACGCTCGGTAACTACGGCGTGTTCACCTGGGGCCCCGAATTGTTGGGATGTTTCCCTTCAACTTCCGGGATCAAGGCTTCGGATCAGCCGTTGATAAGAGACTCTTTGGATGAGGTCAAGGCTTGGCTCAATGCGCACCCGACAGAGTTCGTTGTGTTGTACATGGACACGGCTCCTGAAATGAAGCGACTGGACAAGCTAGGCGCGATGGACGGTTTGCTAAACGAAACATTTGGTGACTTACTTGTTCCATTTGAACCTCTCGATAGGTTTGGTTTCGACCATTGGAAAGGTGGTAGCATCAACGAGCTCATTGACGCGGGGCACCAGGTGCTGGCTCTGGCAAACTCCAAGACGTCGAGTGCCTATAGGTTGCATGACTTATGCGCCCAAAGGGAACTCATAATGAAACACATTGATGACATGCCTAACGAAAACCGACAAATTGGCGGACTGACAGTCTACGGCTCAAGCTGGATCCGCGCGTGGGGCGAGCAGCTTCGTTACATTTCCCTGTCTCCGTCTGGACTATTTTCGCGAGCGCTACCGGTTCACATGGACACTAAGTCAATTCCCAAATTTTTGCGCTGGAATATCAATTTCATCGCTCTGGACAACGCAGATATATCGAAGATGGCCGCTTACGTCTGGTCGTGGGAAGTCGACGAACCCAGCATTACGGAGGATGGGGTCAGTGTGTTCATGAACGAGCAGGGTCGTTGGATGACTAGCATGGACGCTACAAAGGAGTTTCGCGCGTGCTGGAATGGTACACAGCTGGAATGGTCCATCGTGCGGTTTAAGGAGGATTGCCCCCCTGGAACCACGTTCACAGCCCCGACGGATCCTTACCAGAACTACCTATTACACCAGGCACTCGGTGCTAACGGTGTTGTGGGCACGTCGCTGGTCATAAATGCAACTTTGACGATAGTCGGAGCACCTACTCCAGCACCTTCGGCAAAGGCAGTTATTGTGCTGCCAAGTGACACCACGCCGACTCCGTCATCATCAGGATCAGCATCATCATCGTCGTCGTCATTACCATCAGGAGATGAAGAGGATATCCTCTCTTCGACATCCGCATCAGCAGAATATGAAAAGATCGTCATCGCTTCGGCATCATCGTCGTCATCATCGTCATCACCAGCAGAAGTAGATGAAGAGGATATCATCGCTTGGACATCAGCATCATCAGCAGAACATGAAAAGATCGTCATCGTTTCGGCGTCATCATCATCGTCGTCATCGCCATCATCAGCAGAAGGAGATGAAGAGGATATCATCGCTTGGACATCAGCACCATCAGCAGAACATGAAAAGATCGTCATCGTTTCGGCGTCATCATCATCGTCGTCATCGCCATCATCAGCAGAAGGAGATGAAGAGGATATCATCGCTTGGACATCAGCATCATCAGCAGAACATGAAAAGATCGTCATCGTTTCGGCGTCATCATCATCGTCGTCATCGCCATCATCAGCAGAAGGAGATGAAGAGGATATCATCGCTTGGACATCAGCATCATCAGCAGAACATGAAAAGACCGTCGTCGTTTCGGCGTCATCATCATCGTCGTCATCGCCATCATCAGCAGAAGGAGATGAAGAGGATATCATCGCTTGGACATCAGCATCATCAGCAGAACATGAAAAGACCGTCGTCGTTTCGGCGTCATCATCATCGTCGTCATCGCCATCATCAGCAGAAGGAGATAAAGAGGATATCATCGCTTGGACATCAGCATCATCAGCAGAATATGAAAAGATCGTCATCGCTTCGGCATCATCATCGTCGTCATCGCCATCATCAGCAGAAGGAGATGAAGAGGATATCATCGCTTGGACATCAGCATCATCAGCAGAACATGAAAAGATCGTCATCGTTTCGGCGTCATCATCATCGTCGTCATCGCCATCATCAGCAGAAGGAGATGAAGAGGATATCATCGCTTGGACATCAGCATCATCAGCAGAACATGAAAAGATCGTCATCGTTTCGGCATCATCATCGTCGTCATCGTCATCATCAGCAGAAGGAGATGAAGAGGATATCATCGCTTGGACATCAGCATCTTCTTCAGGAGATGGAAAGAATCCTCAGGAGGATTCATCTCCACCATCATACTTCGGGAGGTCAACGGACACTTAGGAGGTTTGTTCTCCACCATCATCTTCTATAGGAGATGAAGGAAGTAATTTTTCCATCCCCATCTTCTTTAGGAGGTGCAACCAATACGAAGGATAACGTATCTTCGACATCATCTTTCTCAGCGGATGAAGCCACCATTGATGGCGACTCATCTTCAACGACTCAGTCATCTTCAGACGATCTAGACGTCAAACAGACTGATTTCGCGGGGGCGACATCATGCTTGCTTACAGATGAAGCTGTTACGGAAGATGACAACACGTCTATATCGTCGTCATCGTCTTCGTCTGCAGAAGACGCGGGCAATAAGCAGACTGGTCTCGCTTGGACGACATCATCTTCTTCGTTGGTTGAAGCCACTACGGACGAGGACGACATGTCTCCGACGTCATCGTCATAATCTTCAGAAGATGCGATTGATACGCAGACCGATGGTACTAGGACAGGAACTGCGGCAAGAGCATTGAGAAGATGCAGATACTTTGTTTAGGTCTAACTACAAACGTTGTTCTCACGATGCCCCGGAGGGACCGCTGTACATGTCTCAATTCTGCAAGGTAAACATGCAATACGTGTTCTTTCAGCTGTCCTTCGTGCAAACGTATCCACAACAACGCTCATGATTTCGTCCGTCACCCCGTCATCACAATGCTTAAGCACACAGCTCGATTTGAACGACTGAAACCCGATCCGCACATCTCAATTTCCAAGGATGCGCTGCACGGTACTCTATACCCATTCGCGATTGTGACTTCTACGTATTGCCATAATAAGCCTTGACTGTGTATTTATGAGCACTGTGTATACTACACTTCCAGAGCGTACAACACGCGGCGCGGGTGGCAGCCCGTCGACGGCCACGCTCATACGTTCGACCCCAGCCCATTCGGCGTGGGGAAGACAGGCGGTTTACAAAGCCTCGATGATGATGCGCTTCATGTTAGGTAAGGAAACGTCATTCTGTGCAACGAGTAGCGGAAATGTTGTCGGTAACGCATGTACCTCCAGCGATAAAATGGGTCATATCAGCAATGAGTGAAGCGGTGCCGAAGTTTGCCTTCGACGGTACCATTCCTCAATATTTGCTTCGCCAGAGAAATACCATAGCATTTTATTGTGAATCAGATGATATTCGCATTGACCGAATTTGTGTCAATGACATATAACGGCCTCACCGGGACAGGCAGAGCTGGTGGAGACCAGCTATGGCATTGCGAAGCCGAGAGGGAAGGAACGTATGAGTTCTGATGTGAAGAAGGGCCCTTCTATGCGGATTGGTGCTCTAATTAGAGTGGAAGTCGGTCATTCCGATCAATATATAGTGACGATCAATTTCGTGGGCATATCAGCAGCAGACCTAATTGATATAATCCCATCAACATTGCGAACAGCTGCCTCTTTTGTGGTCATATTGCAGCATATATATGAAGTTGGCGGACTTTATCAATTCTGTTGAGCTCCACATCAACATAGACAAGTTACGCAGTGTGGGAGGCGCGACGTCGATCGTAGGTCGCCCAGTAGCTCGTTCTGAGAGCACCAGCGACGCTCCCGACATGTCCAATCGCCGTCGCAGCACGAAGACTATCCAGGCAACGCGTTTTTCTCTCCTGCTGCTAGAAGACGGTGAATGGTTTTTGGACGTACGCTGGACACTTTCCAGTATGATCATAAACTATGGGATTCGACGTGGCACCTCTCGTTGCTAATCTTGCTGCTTGGATGGCTTGCAGGACCATTGCGCGTGTTGGTATCTCGAGCCATGGGCCACTACACCAAAGGAAGTGCCCGGCAGGCTCAAAGTTTGTACGCGGGGACTATTTTTCGTGCCTCATGACTTGCAGGTACCCATTTTGCGGTTCCCTTTTCGCTCCATGGACTTCGAACCCATGGCCGAATGTTTCGGACCGATTCGAACTCACTCAGACATATCCAATACCAATGGGTCTACAAAGACTGGACCGGTGGTATACTTGACGTTCAAGACCCAACAAGTTATTGCCATGCGGACACGAGGCATTGACCACCCGTACATTTACAAAAGTACTACCAACAATGGCGACGTACCCATCGAGCGCAATGCACAACAGAACATCTGTTGCGATTTATTCTTCGGCAAAAACAAACTGCCCGCCAAGTACGTTTTTACGCTGCGACACGTGACTATTGAGGCATTTCTTGCGAGCATTCACGTCGTCTACAGAGTATCGACGATGTCGCCTCGCCGAGCATTGACTACTGCGGAAGAAAGCACGCCATTGGCTCCAGTCTTGTCGTCGAGGTGGACGGACAAGTTTGATCCGAGTCTGCTCGTTGATTTTCGCGAGAGATTGTTGATGGAAAGAGGATGTGTTGCTGATCGCATCGAGCCGTTGCTCAAGTTTCCAGGCTGCCTTATGCTGACGACCAAGAGGCTATACTTTGAGCCAGCATTGCTGAACAATGTGCTGGATCTTGTGCTGAACTGGGAGTATACGAAGGTCGATCAGGTATACAAACGACGCTACCTTCTTCAGCCGATTGGGTTGGAGATGTTCCTGAGCAACGGGGACAGTTTCTTCTTCTCCTTTCGCTCTCCCACAGAACGTGACGATTTTTACGCGCTTCTAGTGGAGCAACCAGAGCTGCAACGTTGTTGTCGTCAGGACTTGCAGTATATGATGCGTCAATGGCAGCGACGCGAGGTATCGAATTTTGAGTACTTGCTTTTTCTGAATAATGCCTCAGGTAGGACGCGCAACGACCTGACACAGTATCCTGTTTTCCCATGGATCTTGTGTGATTACACCAGCCCAGAGCTTGCTCTGGATGACCCGGCAGTGTACAGAGACCTGACAAAGCCCATTGGAGCACTCAACGATGAGCGTCTTGCGTATCTGAAGGCGAGGTACGAAGGCATGCCTCGTGGTGCAGAAGCCGAAGAGTTGCCTCCTCCATTTCTGTACGGTACGCATTATTCGACTCCCGGTTACGTGGTGTATTTCCTTCTGCGGAAGGTTCCGGAGTACATGTTGTGCTTACAAAGTGGGAAGTTCGACGCACCGGACCGACTGTTTCGCAGCGTCAAAGTTACGTGGGACGGTTGTTTGTCAAATCATGCCGATGTCAAAGAACTCATTCCCGAGTTCTTCGACTGCGCATGTCCAGCAGATGAGTGGTTGCGAAACATGAAACACTTGGATTTCGGAAGTACGCAAAATCGTGATCGTGTTGATGATGTGGTGCTTCCGCCGTGGGCGCATGGCAGCGCGACCGAGTTTGTACAAAAAAATCGTGCGGCGCTCGAGAGCGACTACGTGTCAGATCATTTGCACCACTGGATCGATCTGATCTTTGGCTACAAGCAACAGGGAGACGAAGCTGTCAAAGCTGATAATTGTACGTCCGCGCTGTATGTTTTCCTGGCATTTCATTGCCGCGTAATAATGCTTGTCTTCTTGGGGTGTTGCTGTCAGTATTTTACTATTTATCATACGAGGGATCGGTGGATATCCAAGCTATCGCAGATCCGGTGCAGAAGTGCTCGTTGGAAGCCCAGATTCAGGAATTCGGACAAACGCCAAAGTTGCTGTTTTCTACGCCCCATCCGTCTCGAAATGAGAGCAGCGTGGATGTCGAGGTGGCTACCCCGGACTTGCTTGTATCTCCGCGAGTGCAGGTTCCTTACGTTCGCAAATCACTTTTCGTCGATGAGATGTCCAAGTCTCGTTTTCAGCGTCGGTACGAAGGCACGCAAACTGCATTGGAGGAATACACTGAGTCTGAAGGTGAAGCGAATGAGAGCTCCATGCCAGTTTACGATCGTCAAAATAGTTGGCACCAGTACAGCCTCATTTGTTCGGAGACCTCCTTACAGTGCTTTCCAATCACAATAAAAGCGGTCTCCGCCCGTTTGCGGAAAAGTATACGATCAGGCAAAGCACGCAAGAAGTGGAAGTGGAAATCCAGACTACGAACAAAGTACAGTCTGTCCGTGTCGTGGGGTTGGAAGCAAAGTTCAGCGAGCCAGTTGCACAAAGGGGAAGTCACGAGCACCGTTCTTTCCAGAGACGGCTCGTTCGTATTCACGACCAGCAAGGACTGCTCGCTGAAGATGTCTTCGACCAAAGGTGTGACGCCGTTCCGCAGTGTGTCCGGCAAGTTTGCGCTTTCATGCTGTGACGTGTCCCCTGATGAAAGTATCGTGCTATGTGGGTCATGGGATAACAGCGTGTACATGGTCTCGGCAAGAACAGGGCAAGTGCTGGACATGGTGGTCGCGCACTCAGACGGCATCTCAGCCATACGCGTCCTGCAACGTCGTTTCTTGACAAGTTCGTGGGACTCGAGTATCAGACTCTGGAGGTATACGGCAAGTGCCATCAATGTCACTCCAATTCGAACCTTTCTGGACTGTGAAGAGTCCGTCTGGTGCTTGGCTGTCAGCAGCAATGAGCAATTTGGTGCAGCAGGAACTCGAAATGAGTCCGTCTACGTGTTCAATCTTGACGCAGCGGTGCTGTATAGCCATGCTCAAGTGAGCTCGGAAGAGTGTCCATCCGGCATCTCGTCGGTTTCGTTTGCCAACGACAACAAGTCGTACGTATGCATCACAATGCGATGCGAGGTGTTTCAGTGTAATCTCCGCGGTGAAAAGCTATGGAGCATGGAGGTTCACACGGCAGGTCCAGTCCAGTGTTTCGACAGCGATGGTGACTATGCCGTAGGCGGCACTAGTGCTGGCTCGATTGTGTTTTGGAAGTTGCACGAGAGAGCTGGTGCAGAGGAGGTCTTTGAGCTCCCGCGAGCCCACGAAGCGAGTATCACGTGTCTCGCAGTTAGCTGTTCCGGCTCATTGCTCGTGTCGGGCGCTCGCGACGGGTCTGTGCACGTGTGGAAACTTGAACAGAAGTTGCCGCTCCATCACCCGACAGCCGATCCTCTCTGTTGGTCAAGAGGGTCAGAGAAACTGCCATCCGGTAGTGGTACATTAACATCCACATTGGCATCCACTACTCGCACGTCAACTTCAATGCACTTTCGACACAAGTCGAGGATGGAAACATGTGAATGGGTCACTGCCCATGATACTTTTCGTCCCATTGTGCAACTCGCGGAAGCACAATGCTGTCTCGAGTGTTGACTCGGCCACGGGGCCTTCTGGATGGATCGTTGGCTGGCCGTGTAAAAGCCAGAGGGCTCGTATCAAAGAAATGGATCACTTGTTGCTAACGCGCAAACACAAGCACGCGCTGATTCTAGGCTCAACTTTGGTCTCTTCCTTGTAAAATCAACCAAACTTCTACTACTATTACTACTACGACTACTACTACGACTACTACTACGACTACTACTACTACGACTACGACTACTACTACTACGACTCCTCCTCCTCTACGACGTCTTGGCCAATGAAAACACGAGCGCATCCTTTGTCGCTCGGACCGAATCCAATGGCCACGTCGTTTCTATCGACCTCCTTTTTATCCATCTCGGTCTCCCGATTATCCCTCTTTATCCACCCCACCGATCGAAAATGGACGAGTCGTCTCTCTACGACGAGTTCGGGAACTACATTGGCCCAGAGCTTCCAAGCAGCGACGACGAGTCGTCCTCTGCTTCCGAGAGCGACAAGGACGTCGACTCGGACAATGGCAGTGACAGCGACGATCCCGCGCACGCCGTCTCGTCGATGACGCTCGAGACCACTCGCGCGAATACGTCTTCTACTGCGGCGAACAGCAGTCGTGCGATTGTCCACGCGTCCGACGCGCAGGCGATTATCCTGCACGAAGACAAGCAATATTATCCAGATGCTCGCCAAGTGTATGGAGACGACACGGAGCTGCTGGTCATGGAAGAAGACGCGCAGACCATTGAGACGCCGTTGGTCGAGCCGGTCAAGATAAAATCCTATGCCACGCACATGGATAAAATCCCACGCACCACCTACTCGACCGAGTTCCTCGCGGGTCTCATGGACTCGCCGTCGCTGCTGCGACATGTGGCTATTCTCGGGAATTTGCACCACGGGAAGACGCTGTTTGTGGATCTGCTCGTGCAACAGACACTTGTCGAGCACTGGACGAGAGCCGATGCAGAGGCAGAGGCACTGGACAAGCGCTTTACGGACACGAGACACGACGAACAGGAGCGCCGCGTGAGCATCAAGAGCACGCCCGTGTCGCTCGTGCTGCCGACGTCGCGGGGCAAACACTACCTGCTGAACGTCATGGACTGTCCTGGCCACGTGAATTTCTCGGACGAGACAACCGCTGCACTGCAGATTGCCGATGGCGCTGTGCTGGTCGTGGACGCTATTGAAGGCGTGATGATGAACGTGAGTGCGGAAGGCCGTGATGCTGCTGTTGTTGTTGTTGTTGTTGTTTTGTCGAGCTTGCTGACGGTGGTGCTGCTATGTTGGACGGCGGTATTGCTATGTTGGACGGTGTTATTGTTGTTGTTGTTGTTGTGAATGTGTTTGAAGACGGAACGCGTGGTGCGAGCTGCGTTGCGAGCTCAGGTGGCAATCGTGTTGGTGCTGAACAAGGTGGACCGGTTGATCATCGAGCTCAAGTTGCCACCGGCGGATGCGTACTTCAAGTTGCTGCACACGATTGGCGAAGTGAATGCGATTATTGACGCACACACACCGACAGACCAGAAGAAGCAGCAACTGTCGCCGGAACTGGGCAACGTGTGCTTTGCCTCGGGGCAACACGGATGGAGCTTTACGCTCGAGTCGTTTGCACAGATTTATGCCGAGACGTACCCTGGTGTTCCGTCAGCGACTTTGGCAGCGCAGTTTTGGGGAGACAAGTACTATAATCCGCAGACAAGGAGGTTTACTAAGAAGTCGGTAAGGTTGACGCTATCTAACGTTCGCAGGACGGTCTGTTGAGTTGTTGTGTAATTTGCATTGTGTGTTCTGTCGATTGGTGGTGTGCTTGTAGCCCTATCCTGGTGCATTGAGGTCGTTTATCCAGTTTGTCCTGGAGCCGCTGTACAAAATGTACTCAAAGGTGCTCAACGGTGACCCAAAAGAGCTCTCTGCATCGTTGCGGGCCATGGGAATACGATTGAGAAAAGAGGAACTGAATCTGAACCCGCGACCGCTGCTCAAACTTGTACTTGGCAGCTTTTTTGGCAACGTAACGTCTGGCTTTGTGGATATGGTCGTGGCTCACGTGCCTTCACCACTTGCGACCGCACAAACCAAACTCGAGCGCATTTATACAGGCAACCAGTCTTCTAAATTGCGTATCGTGCGAGGTATCCAGTCTTGTGACCCGAAGGCGCCTTTGATGGTCAATATCGTGAAACTATACTCGTCTCCTGACGGCACCACATTCAGTGCTTTCGGCCGCGTGTACTCTGGCGAAGTTCGCGAGAACAAGGATGTCAAGATCCTGGGTGAAGCATATAGTGCTGAAGATGACGAGGACATGTGCACAAGGACTGTTGGAAGCGTTTGTATCGCCCAGGGACGATACAACATCAAAGTGAACCGCATTCCAGCCGGCAACTGGGTGTTACTGGAGGGCGTGGACGCGTCGATCACAAAAAGTGCGACCATCACAGATGCCGATTACGATCTGCTGCAGGACGAAGAGGTCGGCATCTTTCGACCAATTCACATGTCTTTTGGCACCACTGCTGTAATGAAGCTTGCTGTCGAGCCGCTGAACCCGGCGGAACTGCCGAAAATGCTGGAGGGACTGCGGAAGATCAGTAAGAGTTATCCACTTGTTCGCACAAAAGTGGAGGAAAGTGGTGAGCACGTGATTCTGTGCACGGGCGAGCTGGCTGCCGACTGCATCTTGCACGACCTGCGGCGAATGTATGCAGAGATCGAAATCAAGGTCGCCGATCCCGTTGTCGCTTTCTGCGAGACTGTCGCTGAGACGTCCTCGGTGCAGTAAGTTGCCGAGTCGATCGACGCTGTCTTGTGCGGCTGTGCGTTGTTGACAGGTGCTTGTTGCTTCTGTGTTGTGCAGGTGCTTTGCCGAGACCCCAAACCAGAAGAACAAGATCACTATGATCTCTGAGCCACTGGACGCAGGACTTTCGCAAGATATTGAGTCAGGTGCTATCAAGCTCGACGTACGTCTTGTCTTCAATGGCAATTTGGTAGCGGCACAACGTCTAATTGCTGATGCGATTCGTGTTGTGGCTAGCAGGTGGGCAAGAAGGAAGTGGCTAGCTTCTTCCAGACCAAGTACAAATGGGACGCGCTCGCTGCTCGTTCCGTGTGGGCCTTTGGGCCCAGTAGTAACGGGCCCAACGTGTTGCTGGACGATACGCTCCCTACGGAAGTCGACAAGCCGTCGTTGAATATGATCAAGGACAGCATCGTGCAGGGCTTTCAGTGGAGTTGTCGTGAAGGACCGCTTTGTGACGAACCGATCCGCAACACCAAGTTCAAGATCCTCGACGCTACCATTGCGTCGGAGCCGATCCACCGTGGAGGAGGTCAAGTGATTCCGACTTCCCGTCGCGTGGCCTACTCGGCCTTCCTCACGGCCACCCCGCGAATGCTGGAGCCCATCTACACGCTTGAAATCCAGTGTCCGGCCGACACTGTCTCGTCGCTCTACCAGGTCTTGAGTCGTCGGCGCGGCCACATTACGCACGACGCTCCGAAAGCCGGGTCTCCGCTGTACACTGTGCGTGGGTTTGTACCGGTGATTGAGTCGTTTGGGCTCGAGACGGACCTGCGCGTGTTCACGCAGGGCCAAGCGTACATTGCCCAGGTGTTTGATCACTGGGCAGTGGTTCCGGGGGACCCGTTGAACACTAACGTCGTGCTCCGTCCACTGGAACCCGCGCCCGTGAATGACTTGGCGCGCGAGTTCATGGTCAAGACCCGGCGTCGCAAGGGGCTGAGCGAAGACGTGAACGTCAGCAAGTACTTTGACGAGCCGATGCTTCGTGAATTGGCGCGCCACGAGGTCGAGCTGCAGCACCTCATTTGAGCCCGAGCTGTAGCCATCAGCGTGGGTGGGTTACATGCAGCAGCAGACAGCCAGACGACTGTGCAGGTCTATGGGGACACGGAAGCGAGGAGAAAAGTGGCAACAAGGACCTACGTGTGCTGTCGTTCGTTCGAACGTCTGAACGTGTGCGAGTAATGGACGTCGGCTTTGTGCTTTTTTGACCCGGCGGGTGCTATTTTATGGTGAGACCGCCAGTGCTTTTGACGGCTGTTGACGGTGTTGTGCAGAACTCACTGTCGTTTGATGTGAAAGGCTTATAGAGGACAACAAACTGCTACCGGTTCAACAGATTATCTGCCGATACGGCAGACCGGCACGAAAGAGAATGGGCGAACACAGTCAGGAAAGGACAAGACTTGGGATGGCTGGAACGACGTTCATCGATCGCAAGTTGTTGGTGACTACTGCATGAAGACAGCAGACGGTGTCGGTCGTGCCGGTAGTGTGTGCACGCGAAGAAAAAAGTGCCTTAGCAGGTCATCGACTCTGTTGTAGCGCTCTCGAAGGTACCAAAAAGTGTCGTGTCACGTGTGACTTTTGCTGGTTTGGTGACGCACATGATGCGGACGACTTGACGCGGTGAACCGACTGACGGGCTGCATTTTGACTACCAAAGTGGTGTGGCAGACACGACACGGACAACAAAAGCGGGCGCTTCGCTGTTGTGTGTCGCACGTTGCAAAGTCGGCCGGCCCGATGGGTGGCGGGCGTGCCTTTTTTGAAAGTCCGGTAATTTAAACTTACATGTCTATCTTCGCTGTTTTAAACACACCTCAATTGTCCATCTTGCAGAAACAAGTCTGTACCGTAGAAGGCCACTCGTTGATGGTGGATGCAGTTCACTTTACTCGACCTGGCGCGCAATTGCGCAAGGGAAAAGAACGAGAGTCCCCAGATGATCGTGGAATGGTCTTTTTTCAAGATCAAATGCGCAACCAACTTTGCTCATTGAACGCCAGATAGCACATGAGCCCACGCTCGAGTCAATGGGGGCGGCATAAAACCGGTACACGTGGTCCAGCTCGAACGGGATGGATACCGCCTCGCTGCGACAGCCGACAACAGCCTCTTCTGTCCAAGAAAATGCGCTGAAGCAGACAGCGCCAGTGAGCTCACGTTCCTGGATGCTTCCGCGACTCTCGGCAGAAAAAGCTGTGTGGGGACTACCAGGTCGATCGAGAGCTATGACGGCCTTCGACAAGAACATAACTGGATAACTCCATGGCCTGACCGGTCCACATACAACTTCCGTGACACGGTGAGGAGACGCGATAGGGTCAATTGAGAGACAGGGGAAAGAAGCTCAGCTGCTGTAGAAGTTTGTAGCCACAAGCCGGTGGTCCTTCTCGCTCGACATTCGTCTGCTCGCTATAATCGATAAGGTCCTAGAACAGCGAGAGCGAAGCCATTGCGGTAGCGAGCAAACATTGCAAACATTGCCACTATTGTAGTAGGCGGTCTGTGGCCTGACCGAGCACACCCGGGGGACATGCGCATTTGTATTGACCGACCGACAGGCTCCAGTGCATCTCGTCGTCGTTCGGGCCTGACCGAAGCCTTCCCGTAGATGTTTGGACGCTCTCGTCGCGTTTGTGGTTAATGAATGCGGTCTATAGTCCGTCATACGACCAGTTCGCGCTGAGATAGCAGACGGTCTTTTCTGATAAAACGGATGGCGGCAACGCCACGAATGCAAGTTCCGTTGAGATACCAATACGGCCACTTCTTGATGCATAAGGGACCTGCTGGTCGAGTTACTTTGCTCGCCACCGCTGGTGATGTTCGTTCTCACTGAACTCGCCAGTCTGCCAGCAAAAAGAGACACCGAGTGCGAAACAAATGGCGTGGCAGCTCGTTGCTCGACCAATGGACGCACATCGCAATGAGGTTATCGAGAAAACACTACTACATATGCAGCACATGCCTCACGTTTGGTGCATCGACACGAAACACGGCATGCAACAACATCTTGTAAAAGCTGTTGTACAACAGGGACACCCCTCTGGTCCACGCACGTGCATGTATCCCATTGTGCTGCTGCTGCCTCACGCTCAATTGACGGGCGCTATGGACGTCAACGGTGTCACCTTTACATCCATCGGCCCCTTCACTGGAATCGTGAGGGCAAACTCGTACGTGAGCGTCCAGGGATCGGCGACCGTCTTGATGTCAAACTTGCTGAAAAGCGTCGCCATTGCCAGTTTGATCTCCATCATGGCGAACCGCTCGCCAATGCAGACGTGTTGACCTGACCCAAACGCACTGAAGACGTAGGGCGAGAACACGCGCAATTTGCCCGTCTCGGGGTCCATCATGCGCTCGGGCTTATACTCGAGCGCGTCCTCCCCCCCACGTTGTTGTATTGCGTCCACTGCAGTACGACGAGACCATTACAGTTTGGCCCTTCTGGACAAAAGTTCCATCGACTAATGTCGTGTCCTGCATAGCCTCTCGAACGATGAAACCCGTGGACGGGTATAGCCGAATGTTCTCCTTCAGTGCAGCTTCCAGGTAGACGAGATCGTGAATTTGCTGGTGCGTTGGCACTCTGATGGTCCCATCTAACAGTCCAGGCACTTTTTCCTGCATCTCGTCCCGGATCTTCTGCAGCACGTTGGGGTATCGGTTCATATTGACAACAAACCAGGCCATACTATGGGCCGTCGAGTCCTTCCCGGCAAACACAAACGTCATGACCATGTCGCGCATGATCGTGGCGTCGTCGTCCTCCATGTGCACGTTCAAGAGACCTAACGATTCAGCGATTCACCTGCACAATGTGCTCAGGAGTCTATGCCTTAACAAGTCTTGACTCTTCTTATGGCCTAAGACGCCTTAGGAAGGCACGAGTCTCTAATAGATCAAAATGAGAACTGAACCATATTTGTTTTTGGATATTTATAGGTACACACCCACCCTTTGATACGTATACACACCCTTGAAATAGAGGCTCATTCTTAAGTGCCGTTACATTCTTATCTAGGTACTGCACAGTTATGCATACAAAATGCCAAATATATATGCTTTGCTACATACACAGTCTCCGTAACTAGGGACTAAATTGTGTCAGCACACAACTTCGCGTATGACTTCCGCTCTCTTCAACCGGTACACCTACTATAAGTACCCCTAATACAACCATTTCTCCTATTTTTGACAGCGTCCAGAACAACGTCAACAACTGCTGAGATCGATCAGCAACTCATCCGATAGGCCGCATGAGCCCTCGCGTCGAGAAGTAAAGTGGCGCCCCGTGTAACCTGCGCGTTGCTCTGCTCATTGTCGTACCCGCTGTCTTTTTCGTTGTGGTGCTGTTGAATTGCACGCTCCAAGTGGATGTTCCAGTATGTTGGTACGAGTAAGTCTCCTCAGTCATAATGGATATCGCAGTGCTATTGAATATAGAAAGCGGTACATTTGCTTCTTGCGCATTTACGTTATAGATTACGGCAAATGATTACTTTATCAGTTTGGTTCCAGTAGGTGTGTACATATCTCCCATTGACAGTATATTTTGCAGTGCCAGAAAAAGGTATGCTCAATGCTTGATCCACAAATTAGACGTATCTTTAAAATAGGGGAGATGGTAATGTCAGGTGTACTTATGGGGGGTGTACCGGATGATGAGAGCGGAAGTTATACGCAAGGTTGTGTGCTGACACAAAAGAGGCTCATATTACGGAGGGGTGTGTACGTAGCAAAGAATATTCATATTGCGTTTTGTATGTATAACTGTGCTGTACGTAGTTATAAAGGTTACGGGACTTAAGGAGGGGCCTTTTTTTCAGGTGTATGTACGTATCAAGGGTGGGTGTGTATGACTCTTAAGTAAATAAGTGCCGAATATTACATGCAACGATTAATAATAGCATTTGATAAGTAGAATAAATCGGAGAATATTGTCCATTACAATAATATTCTCTTTCACCCGCTTGAGGAGTCAATGTCATGCAACGGGCTCATCCAGCTACACCGGGTCTCATGATCGCAAGACGGTGGACATGAGCTGAGCTGATCTGAGCTGTAGCGGCAATAGAGCTGACGAATACGAGGCTCATAACAAGGTGATGCACTGTGCGTAGCAATTGGAGAATCAAAAGGCTGAGCGTGATTAAAAAGTCGCGGCGTAAACGTTGAAGTTGTGGTCTAGGTGCACAGCTACTGACTGAAAAGAGGCCGTTGTCGTCGCGGAGAGGTCAGTGCCAGCGTTGCCGTACTACCACCCCGACACCGGTGCTATACGGTCCAGCCTTCACACAACAAATAGTCACGATGCCGGAGCTGCATCGCCCAGTCTTCACACATGCGAATAGTCACACATCGAATGCCACGGAATGCTTGTCTGACGTCACTGTCAACCGGAGGTTCAGCATTTTTTCAATAATTAGCCGCTGGTAATAGGATGTACGGCGCGCGCCCGCGTACAAGGCAGCATGACCGTTTTGCACGGACGACATCATGCTAGAGCTTTATATCGCAAGACACTGTCTCCTCCGCGACATAGAATTCTGGCTTACTCACAAGAGGATGACTCTTACGAAGTACATACGTGCAACTCGCCCTTGCTCTCATTCCACCGTATCTACTCGCAGCAAATAGACGCATAAGGATCTTGTTGACGTTTACTATCGATAGCAGGGCATGCAGCAGCGAAAAACATAGTGCACATTAGGAAAAACTTGCATTCATCGTAGATTACGTTGTGACCTACGACTACAGGTGAGCGTATGAGCTGGCTAGAGATGCGTCGACATAAGCTGAGCTATATCTTCTGCACTGGCTCTGATTGACTGCACCGGGAGATAGTACTCCCCATGCAAGCAATGAGGTTAGACTCCACTGCAAGCTGATCGACAGCAAGCCGTTAACGGTATTCCATTCGGGCATTTTAACCCATCAGGCGTTATACCAAACTTGTTGCAGGAGATGTTGCAGTGATAAGCATCGGGCGGTGGGCAAAGAAGGTAACAACAGCGTTCAACATCTTCACCGGCCTTGCATCTCGTATTACCTACGGCACGATTTTTTACACACCTCACAAGGCAACCGTTAACGACCACTTGGCTGCGAGCAGAACCCGTAGCAACTGCGGCAACCACGATCACAAGTCCATTGAAGACCTTCATACTGCGCAAGGGATGTAGTCAGCTGACGCGACAAGGCTTGACTGAGCGTGACTGAGCGTGACTGAGCGTGACTGAGCGTGACTGGCTTGACTGAGCTTGACTGAGCTTGACTGAGCTTGACTGAGCTTGACTGAGCTTGACTGAGCGTGACTTGGCAGATTGAAGAATGACTTTCACTGAGTTTGACTGAGCACTGTCATATATACAAAGCCCACCCAACGAACATTCGAGAACCAGTCAGAAGGCACAAACACCTGCTCAAACTGGACATTGAAGAAGGAATGTCCTGTCGCGTAAACATGTGTAGGACACACTGGGCACACAGACTCATGTATGAGTAGATCGACCGATTGAATCTGCGACACGTGGCTTCTAGCGAGCTCGCGCATGGCATCTGCGACTTATAATCACGCTGCATGAACTCCAGTTCTTTTGCGCTCTACGTACCTTCCGTACCACAACGTACTTTCCGTACCACAACGTACCTTCCGGACCAACAAGTACTTGGCCCAACTACACTACCATATGATCACTGCTTCCGTTACCCAGGCCTTTACTGAACCAGTGTCATCCGACGCAACTAAAATATGTACTTGTGTTCCTACGAAAATGCAAACATATTAGCACCGCCAACTTTCACGCTGGCTTGACAATATACAGGAAAAGCTTGTAAGCAGCGTGTCAAGTGCATGCCAACGTCGACTACGCGAGTGTGGAAGGCTTTGAATTCCTGTCGGTCGCGTATACTCTATATCAACCGGGAATGTCGCGCCATCCGAGAGGATGCTACTGCGTGCCCTCTTTTATCTTGTCAGATCAGCACCAGGTGGAGGAAGGACAATGACAGACACCAGGACCACGTGCGAGCCTCTCGTCTGTCGACTGAGAATCCGGACCATTCCTCGTGGCATCTAATCATAGCAGTTGTTAAGAACATAGACCACACCTTGCGGCATCCAATCATAACAGTTCATGAGAACATAGAAGACAATTCCTGGTGGCCTCCAATCTCAGAGATTGCTGATGATGGGTGTGGAGAGGTTTGACCGTAAACTGTGAATGGATCGCCCCTCCTTTACTATCGATGCGTTAGTACGCGCGGAGTGGGGCCAATGCTTATGGCGGGATCCGAAACTGATCTGGACACGATCGCGTTGGCTTTGTTGATTCGAGAAGAATCGGCGAAAATTTGTCTTCGCGGGAGCAAACGTGAATGGGTCATGTCTTGATCCTGTTTTTAGCAGCATTAGACCGCGCGTGTAGTTGACACCGAGGACTCACGTCTGTTGGCGTCTCCGCGGCACGCGTCACTGCTCCGGCGTACGCACAAGGCAGTTCGAGGGAGAGCGAAAGCGGTCTCTTGAGGGGACAATAACCGTACGTGTCCCTGTTCGGCGTATCCATACTACTGATCATTGGCCGCCGAAATAGCAGCAAAAGATACGAACACAGCTACACGTCACGCACTAGGCGCTAGCAGTACCGCGCGAGACGTGTCCCTCTGTGTAATCGTTTGCAGCATAGCCAGGCAATCTCGGAAGCGTCATCGAAGGTGGCTAGCCTCGTACGAGCACCGGCGTGGCCGTCCAAGGCGTAGTAATTACTGATATCTTGCAATTAGTGACGGTGGAGTAAACAGGTCTGCCTCTCTCTCTCTCATCATGGCTACATCGCTGCATGGCGGTCCCCCGGTGACCGCAGCTTACAGGTGTACAGTCTAGTTTGCAGTGGTACGGTGAGCTATCATGCTCTGCTTGTTGCTCAGCAGCAGCTCCGACTTTGGTTCGTCAATGACATGCGCGACAGCAACAATATCGCATGCTACACACATTGATCTCCGCCTCCCTCCTTGATGCTATCCCTGTTTTGCCCGTGTAGAAATGAGTAGCGGAGCGAATAGTGCACGTGAATATCAATCAGACCACCACGTTTAGTGTCGTGTGCCAATCACCAAAGCTGTAGCGCCCGATATCCCAACCGTCTCGAGCTTATGTGACATGTACTTCCTCGGTGGATCAAGACGCAGGCAGCGAATGATCATAACGTAGATAGCGATACCGGAAGTTCCACATTTTGCTCGGCGCGGAGTTTCGCTCAGCACCCGTGCTGTCATTGTAAGATGGTAGTAAGTTGGGACCTTACGTGGCAGCATTTGTCCTCATTGCATTGTGAATCTCGATACGTCAACCTGTGTTAGCGTCAAAGACAAGTGTACAATATCGAAACGCTTTAGTTCTCGCTTTACACCACTCCGCGCAGACTTGGGCAGGAACGAGTAAAAGCTTCAGCTCTTACTGCCGTCGTATTGCTTTGCACTCGTAAGACATATTGAGCTTGCGCTCTGATATTGCATCGTGTTATTACTAAGCGTTTCAGGCACATTTGTTCAGCCGCGGAAGCAATGTGCGAAGACTGATCAGCACTCACTAGCAATGCTTTTTGATGAGTATCATATACTTGCTAATAGCGCTTTGCGTCGCTATGTTGCTATTCGATCGCCTCCTCATGAAAGCACCTTGAACCCGACCTATACTTGTTATCTCTGCTACTGCGTGGAACTTTGCAAACAAGTCCGACTCATCGCTCCTTTTGTGCAGCATTCATACCTAGGCTCAACTACGGAACACCAACACTTTCGAAGCAGGCTTCGGTGCTTTTCGTGTCAGGGCAAACGCGCAGCACGTTTATCCGTCAGGATGTGTGAGATTCGTTTCATTGGATGCTCTCGCACTCGCCATGAAGGACTGAGAGGATTGCTTTATCGTTGGGTATACAATCACCGCGATATTGCCCACTCTTCCACACTACTTACCGTGCGTTTCGAACGTAGATGCAATACATCGATCTTACCACAAGCACCCTGCTCAATGTCCTCACTCAAGTGGCCCAGTTGATAAAGATCTGATTTCGTAGTCGTTGCCACAGGCTCATTGCCCCGCTCTCGAAGCATGTATTTGTAAATATGACCTTTATCTTTACTTCGCGCGCAGCTATATCATGCAGCAACGAAACACATAGGGGCAGGTGGTATAAGTTTCAAGCATTCTTGGGACGTTGGTATCTTACAGGAACCTCGTTAAAGCGCGTAGCGGCACGTTCGTATCGTCAAGATCCTTGCGTTTTACGTCGCAATTTCACAACTCTTGTCGATAATTCCTTTTTGTCTGCATTCACGTCATAATCATACAGTCGTCGACCAGCGGGCGTTTTCTTCTGACTCGTTTTCATTTCATTGCATTCGTAAAAATGCATGGTTCGGTCCATACTGCTTTGCGTCGCATCTTTAGCAGCGTAGGCACCGCTAGCACAAAAGTAAAGTCAGTACAGCGAACCGAAACAAAGGCCATTCACGGCAGCGCAGGTCACCATGAACCTTTTTTACAATCACAACTTGGTTGACGTAGGTGAGTGTAGCAGCAGAGTGACATAACAATGGTGCAAACAATCTTGAGAGAGAGAGAACAGATTGTCTATTTACTGGTTAGTGCAAGATCTCTGGTAGGTTGTTAACCACACTAGCAACGCTGGAGGGTCCAGGCATTGCCTACGGCTGGCAGCCTGGCTATGAAAGCCGGGCTGCCCTCTCGGTTCTGATATAAATATGTCGTAACATGCAGAAAGTTGGGCGCCACGCACGGCCGTGTCAGCCCTGCAATGGAGACGTTGGATGAGCGCCCGCAATTGAAGCTGAATCCTCCCCCAAATCATGGCTTCACTGGCTTGCATCGGGATTTTCGCATTGTGAAAAACTCTGTCCACGCGGTGTTGCCAGAGCATTGTGATGATGACGGTCCCTGCGACCTCCCAGATCGTCCTCCAGGCCGTGGCGAATTGATCGATGTCGTCGGGGTATCTGACTAACAGCATTGCCGTGACCTGCGGCGAAATGCGTGGTACTCTACCGTTTGCGCAGTGCTCGAGCCAATCCAGTATATGGTGAGGCTTATGAGGTGTGCTCTCCCAATGACTGATGAGCCGTGCCCAGATTGCCTGTGCACGGGTACATTCCCAAAAGAGATGCTCCTGGGTCTCCTTCTGTCCGACACATTCTCGATACGTGCAAGACCCGTCCGGAGGCCGGTCCTGATACCAAAAGTTTAGCTGACCGGTAGCGTGGCGGTATCGTGTCCATAGCTGATATTCCGTCACCGCGTGTCCGTGACCCCATAGATGAGCCGGCGAGACATCGAGAGCTGCGCGTTGCCAACGGTTATGCTGGCTCTTGGTGCCCAGTCTATCAATGACCTGCTTCAGCGGTGTCGCAAGACACCGCTTAGCCGACTGGAAAGCTTGCCGTTTCAGGAACGAGAAGACGTGGTGATTGGGAACCGTTAGCGGAGCGGACCATGGAAAGCGGTGGACCTGTGGGTTGGAAAAAAAGACGACCCCATTTCGGATGAGCCTGCACTCCGCGAGTTGGGTGATTTCCTGCGTTTTCCCTTGGACCCGCGGCGGTTCCCCGTCTAAAACCCATGAAATGCCATTCTGGCATTGAATGAGCTCCCAACGCTGAGGGTGAATAGAATTGTCCGAGCCAGAAGTGCCCCGAACCCTACCCGGCCCGACCGGCACCCAAGTGATGGCTTGTGTGAAAGGGGGCTGATGCCGTAGCCGGAGTGGGGCCGGGGCCCCCACCGGATTTCCCACATCAAGTGACGGCGACGAGAGTAAGACGATGATCGCCCATTCTCGAAGTTTGGCATGGGAATGGCGGGGGGCGAGGAGGTCCGGGCAAATGCCGCCGAAGACATATTCCTGGGGTCCTGTCCGCTGGATATGGAGTTGTTCAAAGGAGATATCGCCGATCCTGTCATACTTGGACCGGGACAACGCCGACGCCTGTGGGGTGAGAACCCAAGGGTTTCCACTCCACCGGAAAGTCAGCCAGAAGTCTTCGATCCCCTGGGGCCAAAACTCTACTGACTGAGGACGACTGGGCAGGGGTTCAGAGAGATGCAGCACCCAGTCGTTTTCTTCCCACCAGCTCGTCGATGATGATCGAAGGGTCGGTAGATGGTCCTGTACCCGTGCGAGAATCTCATCCGTTTGCGCGGGTGTCGGCGTCAATGCGCATCCGAGCTCATAAAGTACATCCAGATACCGCTCTGAAGACGGCGATACAATGTGTCGCACGCACGGTCGATGCGGACTGATGGCCGGGATGTGTGCACCATGCGTAACCCAGGACACCCACGCTGAGTGATAACCATCCTCTGGCCGAGTAAGTGCCAGTAGCGCGTGTTTTACTCGCTGGGTTTTGATGGCGACGGGGACCGAAACGAGGCCGATTCCGCCTGCCTTACGGGGAGCGTAAAGGAGGCCTGGAGCGACTTTGTGTCTCCCGGGTTCAATCCCGTTGGACGTCTTCCAGAGGAACTGTTTGTAGAGATGATCCAGCTGTTTGAGCGCCCAACCGGGGGGCTCGAAGACCGCTGCCGTGAACAAAATTCCGGGTAGAACTATCGCGTTGAGTATTAGAACTCGGTGCTCGAGGGTCGTCGAAAATCGCGTTGCAGTGAGGAGGCGACGCTGTGCATTTTTGATGCGGAGAGCCCAGTTAATGTTGCGTAACTTTCCTGTACCCACTTGATAGCCGAGATACCTCGTAGTTGTTGACGGAGCCACCACTGCGATTCCCTGATACGTAGGTTGACGGATAGCCGTGTTTAAAAATATGAGTTGGCTTTTTGTCGGTTGCACCTGCAACCCCGAAAGCCGCCCAAACTCCATAACGATGTCCATAGCCGGTCGTAGTAGACTGGCTTCTTGTAGAAACAGGGTTGAGTCGTCGACAAACCCCGAACATATATGGGGCTGTGTGTGTACTCCTGGAAGTGTGAGCCCGTGAAGTTGGGGCGACGTTTGTATTGCAACGGCCAGCACCTCGACTACCACCAGGAAAAGAAGAGGAGCGAGGGGACAGCCCTGCCGAATGCCAGACCGAACCGGCCGAATTGATGAAAGCTCACCGTTGACCGAAAAACGTGCCGTCGTGTTGGTATGAAGCCTCTGAATGCGCGCTAGAAAGTTCTCGGCAAACCCGAATAGACGGAGCGCCTCTACCATGAAGTCGCGGTCGACCGTATCATAGGCCTTCCGAAAATCCAGTAAGACAACGACGCGGCTGGCGTCGGCGTCCAAAGTACACTCCTCACGTGCACTTTGGAGGTGAGCAAGCATCATTGAGACCGTCTTTTGCATTTGTCGTCCGTGAACAAAGCCTTGTTGAGAAGAACCGATGACATGTGGCAGACACTGCTGCATACGCGTCGCCAAGACCTTCGCAATTACCTTGTACCCCGTTTGCAACAGAGAGATCGGTCGATAGTCCATGGCGTCGTCGGAATCTCCTTTCTTACGTAGCGGGATGATGAGCGCCTCCATAAACGATTTAGGTGGTTGCGCACCTTGGATGATCTCGTTAGCTATCTCCACTAACGGCGGTACCAACAGCGACTGAAGATCCTTGTAAAAATCGTTCCCTAAGCCGTCGGTGCCGGGGGCTTTATGCCTACTGAGGGCTCGGATTGCGAGTACCACCTCTGCCTCCGTTATATCTGCCGTCAGTTTCGGCAGTGGTGACTATGCGGTCAGAGGGGAGAGCGACAAAATGCCGCAGAGCCGTACGCAGTTCTGCGACTGGGACTATACGGTGGCTCTGCCCCAGCACATGATCCCATTCAGAGGTGCAAACAATCTTGAATGCGTCTCGGTACCCAAGACAGCGTGTCCTGTATTCACTTTTCTATGGTCTGATTATGAGATTTGCACCGATGCTTATCATTTGATGCCGAGATGAGAGACATTCGCCAAGACAATTGCATCATCGAGAGCGTGAACGCTGCTTATCTAAGTAGCGGAATTTCGTTTGCTCTGATGCCATTTATGCAATTCCAATTGTCAAACTTCGGCCGAAGATCTGGTCATGGCTTACCTACAGCGGAGATAGCATCATTTCATGATGTGGCTCATCAACGAGACACGTCGAACGATTTGGATACGATACGAAAGCGCATGGAAGCACTGAATGATTGCGAAAACATAAACATCGCACTACGACTAAGCAGATTGTTGTGTAAAGCTTTTAATTTCGAATTAGAGCGCCACTGCTTCATTACACTGTTTATTGCTTGACACCACACAAAGTGGACTGTAAACTTCCGTTTGAACTTAACACTGATTGTATCATGTCGCTTTTGTTTGCGTAACACCTATCGTCAAATAAGGTGCCAGTTGGTTGCTGTTAGCCTCCTCTTTTCATTGCAGGTGTCTGGTGCGCAAAATTAGGAATGGCGATATGTGGTCACCAAGAGGTAGCGGCGGTGAGATATCGGTCTTCGGTCTGCGCGAGTCGCTTTTCCAGAAACAAGGCGACCACGTCCCGCGCAACCTCTGGCTTGCCTTCAGCAGCGAGCTGGGCCTTCTTGGTCATCGACTCGACGATGACGTTGTCAATGAAGTCGTGCATGATCCGCGTGTTGTCCATGAGGAGCTTCTCCTAGCCAATATGCAGGTACCTTTTCAGCCGCCATAGCCACAGCGGGGACTGGATGCGCACCCCAAAGGCCACCGATGCTTCGTTGAACGCGAGGAGGAACTCGTGATCGTCTTCACGATCGACACTGTTCTTGAGCGTGTCAAGCTCCAGGCCAAAGCCAATCTTGGCGATCACGTCCATTGCAAAGTGGCTCAGCTCTTTCTTCATGCTAAACGCCTGGCCACGTTGTACGTACACGTCCAAGACGTCGAGAAACACGCCGAGGTGCGCCCGCGTTGTCGCTTCCAGGCCGCCCTTCATCATCTGCATGGAGAACAACCGACTCGCGGTTTTCCGGTGAAAGTACCAGGAATCGCCGTCGGCCACGACCATACCGTTGCCAAAGATATCGTAGCTAATGGCCTGCCCAACGGGTCCCCGCAGGAACACTTTGTCCTGCGTCACGAGCACGTCTCTGAACAACTCGGGCGACGACAGCACAATCGAAGCTGGACGTCCTGGGACGGCAAACATCCACGGCCGGTTGTGGAACGCAATCGACTGCTCACTCAGCCAGTCGTGAAAGCGTTCAGCGTTCCCACCGGCATCGAGGATGTTCTTGAGAAGGGGTAGTGTGGTTGTCGGCATGGGCGGCAGCTTCCGAGGACCCGTTGTCGAAGATTGGTCTGTAGGCGCGTGTTTGACCAGGAGGAGGCCCAACAGTGCCGTTGCAACTGTAATAGCAGCAGCAGCGACAACGACGTCGTTCTTGCCGCTCATGTGCCCGGAAACACTTTTCATGATGGTACGCGACTGTTTCTTGGAAATCGGTTGGGCACTTGCTGGGCACTTGTTGACACGTAGAGACACGAAAGCGATCGAAGAGAAGGCGAAAGGACAAGTGCGATCGATGGTGCAGGTCCGAGTCGGTTGGGTGACGCTTTGGACAGCAGAGACGGGCGATCGAGGGACGTGGAGGTGCTGGCTGCTCTCAACCAGGAGATGGTCCTGAGCATGTCTAGACGAGACAACAAGTATCAGCGACGTCAGCGACAGCAGATGAAACGGCCATGCAGCAGAGTGCACTGTGTGCATGTAGTCAGGTTACCCGCTCGGTCGGTCAGTCGGTTGCAACGACTCGTCTCCTTGAAAGTGCATAAAGCTACGAGGTCGTGGTTGAACAAAGTGGCAGACGAGTGTGTCGCCTGCTCACGAGGAGACGTGCCATGCAACACGGACACACACGGGCAAAAGGACTCGACGCTGTACGATGTTGCCGATGTTTTGGGCAGCTTGTCCTTGCTCGAGACGAACTCGGGATTGAGCGACGAGTACGGTATGACCCGGTGGGTTGGAGTCGAGTGGTCCATGAGCAACAACACCTGATCTTGGATAGCATGCGCGCGGCAGGCAGCCCCGCTTACTTACGCCCTTTTCCCCAAGTCTGTGTCCATGCGAGTGATCTCGCTGAGTATCGAGTGCAACCATGTGGTCGGACTGCGTCCAAGCAGTGAACTCTACGTCAGACTTCCAGCCGCTGCCGTTACCACAAGAGCTGCTGAGAACTGCTGGACTGCAAGAGGTCGAAAGAGACATCAGCCCATGTTTCTCGGGGACTGTCCAAACGCACGAGCGTGTAGGAGCTGATTCAGTTGGCACTCTCTTGACGGATGAGCGAGCGAGGGGGCTTTAAGATGTCAACTCACTTACGCTACTGCGATAACCGTCAGGCGCTGCTGCTGCCACAATGGCTACGAACGCGTGTGCGCCGTCGTCTTCACGATGGTACCGACAGCTGCAGATACGGAATTCCGTTGCAGTTACATCGCGTTTTGTTCCGTTTGGCAACTGCATCGGTGGGCAAAACGAAACGCTGCGGTCTCTCGTATTGAGGTATCTCCTCGGAGTGTGAGCGCTTTCACCTTCTGAGAAAACGGTCTGCGGCGGCTGAAGGCAATCGCAACACGCGAATATCGTTCGCAGCAGCGGCGGTCAACGGATTTGTCTGACGCCGGCCTCGACCCGTTCATTCGAGGTCCACATGGGGCACCTGACTGCTTCGGGACGCAGCCACTCCGGCGCTTCCACTCTGGCTCAGGACACTTTCACACCGCTTGCACATCTTTACGTGTAAGTAGGCGGTCACGACACTCCCCCTCATGACGACAGGATGTGCAGATGTCTGACGTCGATATGTCGGGCACTCGTGGCCGATCCAGAAGCGAGCGTCGAAACTCAGACTGGGGCCCAAGTCCGAGGACTCTGAACAGGGGTGCAATAACACGAGACCACTTGCAGACGAGAAGCGCCACCTCTACGTGACCAACACGATCGAGTCCTTCTTGACTCATATGCGTATCACGGGGCCTGTGCTGATCGTGCAAAGAGCTACGCAGAAGCGCCAACAGCTCAGACGATATGAACTTGCAGTCGGAGCTGATCTTCGCATAATTGAGCTCGCGACTGCACACGTTCTTCCTTGTTGCCACGTACGTTGGCAGCTTCATTTCTGTTGTTTGCTCATGCGGAAGGTGTTGCAGAGGGGACCCCGATATCTGGTCGACCAGAGACCAAACGAGCGGCTATAAGCAGGAATAGAGACCAGAGACGACCAGGGACGACCAACAGAGCCAGAACAAGCAAAGATGTGCGTCGGTCCTCAGTAGGAGCGACACTATGTGAGGGCGTGAACGCAGCATAGCTGCATTGATAGATTGGCGACTGAAAGCTCGTTTTAGGCCTCGTAGACGATTCTTGGAGTCCATGTGGCAGGGGACAATGCCTCCTGTCTCCATCATTGAAGATTCGACACTATCCATATGCGGCATCCGACGGTAGCAGCCGGTGCGTTTTTCTCAGAGCGACATACCTGAGCGAGCTCGCGTGTCTGTCACGAGTAGCCATAACGTGACGGGAAGGAGCGTCGCCTGCAAACAGCTCACGAGCATCGACTGGCAATAGCAAAGAGAACACGAGACCTCGTTCATCGCACTCGCTGTGTGTCCAACGCCCGACTTGTCTTAGACGGCTCGGCACGCACGCTCAAGTGTCGGGAACGCGTGGTCTGCATGAAACATCCACGAGGCTGCAAAGGTGAGTTTGCCGTCATGTTGCCCGGGCGGGTATCGTGCCCACAGTATCGTGAAAGCGCATGTACGACCGACCACAGAAGATTGACTGCTTGGCACATGCCCTGTGTAGCGCGCAGCATGAGATCTCGCAATCTCGCTGGAAGGTGCTCTCACGGTTTGACTTGTTGACGGTGGGATGGACAACGTGGGCGTGTCTGTCCATGGCGAGGCATGAGTTCCTGATAACGCGCTTGTCCAGTTCGTAGCGCAAAACGTGCGTCCAGCGAAGCGTCTGATGCCCAAAGGATCCGACTGCGGACGTTGTATCGCGCCGTCCTCCCCAATCCTTATCGACAACTCATGTGTTTATGCGAAGGAAAAAGGACGACGACGAGTGTGTGACTGCCGTCAACAGTCGTCATTGAAGGACACGCAAGTGGCTGTGCAGTTCAATGTCGCCTCCACCTGTGGCGCCGCCCGCCGTAATCGTCGCCTCTTTTTGCCCGTCGAGTCGTAATCGCGAGTTCCATTGGCTTCGTCTTTGGAGGTTCAGTTCCTCGCACGTCAATAATTGCAGCAAGTGGCAGACGGCAGCCAAAGGGGCTCAGAAACGGGAGCGACCGACCAACGGAACGAACGAACGAAGTTCACTGTCTTTGTAGCCACACACACAGACACAGACAGAGACACAGACAAACCCCACAAACACTGACAGACAAACCCCACTACGAAGCGCAGCAACGGCGAAAAACGAGTTCTCTATCGCTTTGGACAGAAAAGAGCGCGAATTGGTTTGGAAGACGTCTGCTAAAATCTTTGCCGACTCTGCTCGAGCGCATTCCGACTCCATCCGAATGTCCAGTCAATAAGTGGTCCAGAGCGGCTGCAGAGCTCCTCGTGCGACCACTTATTTACGAAAAGGTCAGCAGCCCTCAAGCACATCGCCCCCCACCACCAACGACAACAACAGTAACAGTAACAGTAGCAGTAGGCCGAGACCTATTGCCACAAGTTGGCAGAAAATGGCTGGAAAGGAGCCGACGAGCACCAAAGCGAACGGGACGGAGGGCCCCGTGCTGGGCAAGTCGGGCAAGCGGATCTGCTGCTCGTGCCCAACGACGAAGAAAGCGCGCGATCTGTGCGTTGTGAACAAGGGCGAAGACCACTGCAAGGACGTTATTGAGGCGCACAAGGCCTGTTTGCGCAGCGAGGGCTTTACGGTCAAGTAGCGAGCGGGGGACGGCGAAAAGACGCGTTGGTTGTGGTGGCGGTGGCTGCAGTCAGACTGTCAGACTGTCAGTCAGTCGCAGCTCGTAGATCTGACGTGCGGATTGACGGCCGATATATAAATATATATACATAAATGCATTGGTACGTCTCTTTATTCGTTGTCGTCGTGACACCTTTTGACGACTCTGTTGTCGTGTCGATACGAGAACTGAGACTGAGCTCGAAGAAGGAGAAGAAGAAGAAGAAGAAAAAGGCTTTACACACTACCGCACGTGTGGAAATAGATGGAAGACAACATATAACGCACAAAGAGCGAGCGAGTAAAAGCACTTGTGTCGTGATTCGTTTTCTGCAGTCTGTACGAGTGGATCGTGGCCAGTGCTATCGATGCCGTGGTGCAAGTGCTTGTTTCGGTCCAATGTCGTTGATGCTCATCACTCACTCACTCGCTCGCTCGCTCGCTCGCTCAGTTCTTCATCTATAGTCCCTCTTCTTCGAGTGGAATGTACCCACGAGTTATGTGGAGCACCATGCGATGTCGATGGAACGGAATGTCGCGCTGCACAAACGATAGCGGCTAAAGAACACAAGCAGGTCACACATGACGCACAATTTGAGATCAGTGGTTTGGCAGGAATGACCACAGAGCGAAACGCGGCAGAACGTACGGTATTTCGAGAGACGTAGTCGGCGAACATGCACGAGAAAACGCCGCAGTCCGATCCGTTTGTTTGCAGAGGCGTGTCGGGCGTGGTCGTCACCAGCTCCCATCCTTGGCGGTCAAACTTTGTCTTCTTCTTGTGTTCCGACTCGTCGTGCAGGTACCTACGAGTCAGAAAGGAATGATGAGGGCGATCGTCAACTGGTTCAGCTCACAGAGTCGATAGACAAATGGCTACGCTGCTCACCTCATGATGACTTTCAAGCACGCGGCACCGCTTCCGTGCATGGAATCGTAGTACTGGATGCGCTTCTCTGCCATGAAGATGACGGCCATGCACCAGTGCATCTTCATTTACGTAACAACCAAGTCGTGAGCTCACAGAACCGTTCAACTCTCAGTACGTGCTGACAACACGTACGTTGCCGACATTGACAGGCATAAATATCTTGTCCATCGCAAAGAGGTCAATCTACAAGCAGTCGAGCAGTACACAGGTTATCATCTCCCATCGTGAACGTGATACGACAAGCTTGGTCCAATGCAAACCAACCTTCCGTGTCCACCGGCGCACGTTGACATAATTGTATCCGTTTTCTGACACCTTTGTCACGAAAAACGAGTTGAAGAAATGGCTTCGCTTCGGCAGGACGCCGGCATTCACGAGCGCTTCGTCACGATCGCTCATCATCTGAAAGTAAAAGTTGATCACCTGCTCAAGACAGCAACACCATACGACGTGAACAACAATCATACGACGTGTCGCCCGGCACGAGCACTACACAGACCACAAACCTCATCGTTCAGCCACTGTAGAGGCAACAAGCACTGCAGATGGCGGCGCTTGATGTCCACATTGTACTTCTGGATGAGTATCTCCTCCATTGGGCCTTCATGCAGTGCATCTTCCACGATCTCAAGTAGATCTGGAGGCAGCTCCTTGTTACGAATCTTCTCTTCTTCCTCATCAAAGACATCTGCAGCGAGGTCGTATATCTCGTCGAGCAACACTTCCTCCACAAGAATCTGCACACATCACAGCAACGCCGAGCCTAGTCAGAAACATTGCAACACGCCAGTCCATCCCTCGCACACGAAAACGTCAGTCACCAACATTCGTCTCTCGCTCTGCGAGGCAATCGTAGAAAAGCTGATCCGTCTTCGACGTGCGCGACAGCCGTTGCAGTCGGAGTTTCTCTGCCAGCCACACACACAACCACCACACATGCCACCCGCGTCTCAGTTGTCTCTCCCAGCAGCAAATCCGCACCGTCGATACTCGTCCGCACCTTCCAACTCTGCAATTTCATCCTCGCGTCCCGCTCGTCTTCGGTCTTTGTGCCCAGCCGTGTCCTTTAGCTCTGCATCGTCTCGACAACTTGACTCCACAACCGGCACCTCGTCGTCCTGCCACATGCAGCAGCAGCAGCACCAGTCAATCCACACTGCATCACCGCTTCTGTATCCCTTGAACAACCAACATCTTGCAACAGCTTCCGACCTCTTTTGTCTCGACCGTCTCCGCCTGTTCGCCCGGCTCGAGCGTCTTCCTCTGCTCGTTTCGTTTCGTACTTGGCCCGTTCCTCGCTCCACGACACCCACTTAGGGTCGTCAAACTCCCACAGCGCTCGTTGCAGCTACTCAACACGCGCTGCAGGCGCTGGAAAAGCCGCTCGTTCCCTCGATTTTGCTCGTCGAGGTGATTCACTTTGCTTAGTGCTACTTTTTGGCGCTTCAACAACGGCGCGAAATCGTACTCGTCGCGGTTTAATTCGTAGAGGCGACGGCGGTATTTGTCATACGCGACATACTCAGCCCCAGAGGATCGTCGAAACTGCGCCATTGACTCCGTGTCGCCGGCGGCCGTCGCCCGTCGAGGCGCTTGGATCACTTCGACGGGGAACGTCTGCAGCAGAGTGCGACTGTAGCGAGACGCGTCTGTCAGGCGCTGCTGGTACCGCACGTCATCGAGCGCCACCTGCGTCGATTGCTGAAGTAACATCACAGGGCGGTGAACGTGGGTTAGTCCGAGCTGCTACTTCGTCGAGACGAGCAATAGAGGTGAAGTGGCGACGCCACGTACCATTATTATTAGTGCACGGACTCTTTTCGTCTGGCGGACACGAATAAAACACATTGGGATTGTTATTGTGATTGTTATTGTGATTGTGATTGTGATTGTGATTGTTCCTACTATTCCGGACGGCGATTGTATTTTACAATCCTGTCGTCATGTTTGTGTGTGTGCGTGTGTGTGTTTTTTTTCGTTCTTTTGTTCTTTTTCCTTCCGACGCAGCGACGTTTGCTCGTTTGAAACGACATCAGCGGACGTCGCCAAGATGTTTATGTCGGTGCTTTTCCGGCCGGTGTCAACGCGCGCCCGCCCCATCACGCTTCGCTTTTCGGCAACCCGAAGAAAAAACCCCACGCACCTGTCGTTGTTACTCACTCCACGGCCCCTGTTGCTGTAGCAGTGGTCGTAGTCGTAGTAGTCGTAGTGGTACCCCTCATGGCTGACAAGCGGTCAAGCAGTTGCACGGCCGACAACCGCCCACTCGGGTCCTTGTCCAGCAACCCGCGAGTGAGGTCTTTGATCTCCACTGATACGTTGCGCCACACTGGCGCCGAAAACGACACGGGCTCAGTCTGCACGCGCAGCAAAACGTCGTCCTCTGTGGAACTGCCCGTGAGGTCAAACGGGTGGCGTCCTGCAATCAAAATGTACAAAATGCAGCCGAGTGCCCACATGTCCATTGCAGGCGTCATGTCCTGGCACTGCAAGACTTCAGGCGGCCAGTAGCAACGGGTGCCAGAGACCGCACACGTTGTCGTGCGCGGGCTGTCGATCGTCTCTGGCTGCGAAGCGCGTCCAACCGAGCCGAGGTCAATGATCTTGAGCATTACGTCCTTTGTCTGCCGTTCCCCACGTGGCCTGTCACGGCCGTTGCGATCGTCAATGGCCATAATGTTCTCCGGTTTCAAGTCGCGATGGACGAGGTCCGCTGCGTGCATGAATCGCAACGCACTGGCCAACTGGGCCACAAGCTCCAGTGACCACGAGGCATCGAGTGTGCGGTGCTTTTCCATGAACGAATGGAGCGAGATGCCCGGGACGTACTCGAGCACAATGTAGTGGAAATCGTTGTGGTAATACGCGTCTTGGTAGCCCACGATGTGGGCATGGCCGCCTGCGTGCTCGAGACGCTCGAGCGCCTGCTTCTCCCGCGCGATCTCCTCCGCGCTCCCAGCACTGCTCTGAAGCATCTTGACAGCTGCTGCACGTCCCGTTTGTTTGTGCCGACACTTCATCACGACCCCAAACGAGCCCCGACCCAGCAACTTTGTCGACTCGTACTCAACATCAAAGTACCGCGTCGAACTGCTGTCTGCGTTCGCGCTGCGGTCATCATATGCAGTGCCGTAGCAGCCATACTGAGCACTGGCAATGTCGACCATCTGCTCGGCCTCGCGCCCTGCAACGGCTTCACACTGCACTTCACTTGTCCGCGTGAGACGACTGACAACTGCACCAGCAAACGTAGCGACCGCCACAGCCGCCACGAGGCGCGCGTCAGGAACTGTCCAGCAGCGACGAGATCCGCCCGCGGCCTTCCCGACCCGCAACGATCGAGACGGGTACGACCACAACAAGGCCGTCTTCATTGGCACGTCGCTCTTCACCGGTCCCGTCTCGTGGTCTGCAGCCACGGGCAACAGCAGCAGTGCCGTGTTCTTTCCTGCAAGTGCGCGTTGCAGCGCACCGCACGCAATACGCCGCAGGCCCATTGCAATCGGTCACCCGCTCGCCCTTTTTGCTCGTTCGCGTTGCTGGTGCAAGTGCAAGTGCACTATGTTTTCCCGACGCCTGCAGCTGCGTCGGCGTCTGCCCCGAACTGGCCGTGTTCTATCACGTGAGGTCTGCGTGAAGGAGACGCTGGGCGAGCGAACCCTTTGCACGAGCATTCGAGAACCCGCGCGTGCCTCATAGACTGACAGAATGACAGACAGACAGACTGACAGACTGACTGACTGACTGTCTATGCGAAGGTACATCTGGCTGCGATAATCTTGCGCGGCGCCCTTCTCTTGCCGCTATAACGGCTTCTCGTGCGCAAATTGCTTGGGAAAAAACACCCTACCTCAGCAGCTGGTCCCTGCTACCACACACGCGCTGGCGCTTCTGCGACCTCGATGGCCTCTCCACATGCGTTTTCACAGGGCTTTTCAGCAGCATAACGTCCGAAACATCGCTCGGCAGGCTCCGAGTCAGTCCATGGCTGAAGTGGCACCTAGCAAATGCCCATGCCGTCAAAAATACCCACGCACATACATATGTATACAGCCAGTGGGTGGTAAACTACGCGTGCCGTAGCAACTCTGCGAATTGGCATGTGGACCGAATGTAGCGGAGTGCATAACCGCGGTATCGTCACTGCTGCTCGGTCGGGAGACGGCAGTTCGCGGAATGGGTACACCGCATGACCAGTCATTGCGAAGAGCTACAGGTGCACTCGGCGACGCTGCACGGGGTCGTGCCCTTCCCAACGTACCATAGCACAATTGCAGCGCCCGTCACATGCACGCGCGGGTTCTGCAGCGTCCTCAGTGCTGCCGGCGAGCTGGTCGTGCTGCAACCGTCGCGGGCGCCGAGCCAACAGGACGTGCCGAGCCAACAGGACGTGCAGGACCACTCGTTTCGGGTGGTAGCGGTTCTGCCACCGCCTTTAGCGATAAGGATTGCGAGCTTTTGCCAGTGCTGGCTGCCCGACGGGTCTCTGGTTGCTGTAGCGCACGACCGCAGGGTCGTTTTCTACTCTACGGACGCGTTTCAGGTGCAGCGGCAAGTGCAGGTGCGATACAGCGTGACGGCGATGGACATTGTCGTGCGGAAGAAGGAGGAGAGGAGGCAAACGGTCGACGAGGAAGAGCGAGTTGACGGTGTTGAGCTGCTGCTGCTCGTTGCGACAGCGTTTGGAGCGTTCGTGTACGTTGTCGCACTGGAAAAAAGTGGCCAAGAGGCTCAAGACAGCTCACGTGACGAGACGCTGGAGCTGTTACTAGCTCCGGTTGCTGCAGTGCACACTGGTGTGGCCATGTGTATGGTCAAGTTCTCGAGCGACGGGTGCACGGCTGCAATGGGGAGCGTGGACGGTCGGCTCTTCTTGCGAGCACTGGGATCGCACGACGACCACACGCTTGCTACGTGTGGGACGGTAGTGTTCTCGAAGGTGCTGCCCGCTCCACGGGTCACGAGCTTATGCTTCTCATTGTGCTCGACGCAACTCGTGGCCGCGACGAGGAATGGCAACGTCTACGTGTACACGCTCTCGACCGAAACACGGCGCTGGCGATCGCTGCCACGTGGTGCCGACCTTGACAGGCATCCGAAAGCAGGCGGCCAAGCTGGCCCACACCGAGCAGGGACAGCCGCGCAGACCCTCGTAGCGTGCTGGGGGGCTTCTGTCTTTGTCGCGTGTGCACGAGCCAGTGCATCCCGACTGGACATGCACGACCTCGTCACGGGCTATCGGCTACGCTCGCTGCAGTTTGCCCCATCATCGACCGCCGGCTCTTCTTGCGGATTGAGCCAGTGGACAGACCAGCACGTGGTCACGGGGATTTGCAGTATGCGGACACGCGACGGCGGTCCCTCGTGGCTGTTGGTCCACGACGCGACTTCGAAGGTCCGTGTCGTCACGTGGCCGTTTCTCGACGTCGTTGCCGGTTGACCAAACGAGTCGAAGTTGCAGCGTCTCGCGCGTGGTCGTCTTCCGTCGTCGTCCTCGACACGTCGCACGTGACGCTGTCTACGGATCACGAGCGTTACCGGGACAAGGCCCCGACTTGAGCGACTGGTAGTTAGTTGTACTACATACACTCCGGCGCACGCTGTACTTGGACCGCGACGTATGTGCCGCTTCCTCGAGGAGATCAACTGGTGTCCATGACAAGACGAGCGAGCAGAACAGATGGAAGACGACAAAGTAGCACACTACGTGGGACCCATCTGTTTCAGCGACTTTGATGCCGTCACGACGCGCGCGAGTGTCTCGTGTGATACTTTCGCGACAACGTCTTGACACCGTGACACCCGCAGGCACACGGCTTCATCTGCGTGTTTCTGCGCCCATTCGCTCGCGCTCGACACGCCCCGCAAGGCAACAGACTCGTTCATTATACACACTTTGCTAGACATTTCTTCCCGCGCTGGCTTCGGCTTAAATAGCGCCTCTCGGTCCTCTCGACTACACACACACACACACCACACCCCATCCATCCGTCCACGCACGCGCTTCTAGACGTCGGGACGGCATCGCGTACAGCGTCCATTGACCCGACGGGTGCCGCAGTCGACACAAAACGTGCCAGGAACCGACACGCGGTGCAGCATCTCGCCGTGGCCGTCGCGAATGTGGGCAATGAGGTCGCTCCGAGCCCGGAACCGGCCGCCGCAAAACGTGCAGCTCTCCCAGCCGTCCTGGTCCGAGCCAGCCCCGACGTAGTGGCTGCTGCTGCTGCTGCGACTCGGCACTGTCTCTTGTCCATCTGGTTCTGGTCCGGTGGCCACGCGAGCCAGCGGGACGTCACTGACGCTGTCTGCGTCCTCGTCGCCGATAAACTGCATATCGGTCGCCGTGACCAACGGCGTGCAGCGCCCCAGCCGCGCAGCGGTCGCCAGCGGCCGCTCGTTGCGCTGGGCGCGCAGCACTGCTCGGAACCGAATCGGAAACAGCAGCGGCGCCTGTTTCTTCCGCTTCTCGAGCGTGAGAAAGCCAATGGCTTTGCTCACGTCGCGGCCGCCGCCCAGTGGAAACGTCTGCGTAAAGCCCACGGCGCGCTCGGGCCAGAAACAGCTCGTGAGCGTGAACCGCGAGCTCGCACTCAGCGGTTTGCGGTCGGCGATCTGAATCACAAACACTGTCTGCTCGTCGCGCGTGCGCGACCACTTGAGGTATTTGCTCACGTGCGTCGCGCGCAGGTACTTGTCCGAGTCGACCGACACGAGCTGCACGCGCATGGCGTCGAGGATCTGCCGCTCGCGCACTTCGGTCACCGGCACGAGCTGCACAAACTCACTGGCGGCGCACTGCGCGCTGGCAAAGCACGGGACGACGCTCTCCGAGTCTTTGCACGTGACGAACGCGTCGCTGCCCTGCCAGAAAAACTGCAGCGCCACGTGGTCGCGCGACGTGGCCCAGGGCGCGTCTTGCAGCGGCGGGACGGGCTCTGCTGCGGCTGCTGCTGCAGGCGGCACGGGCGCAGGCGGCTCGTCGCCGCGGGTCGCGAGCGGGTAGAACTCGGTCAGTTCGTCGTCGGCCATCATGGCGCACGTGGCGGGTGGCGAGCAAAAGGACAAATGACGGGTCTGTCGCAGGCCGCGCCGATGCGGGGGCGGCGATTGGCTACATTTAGTGGCTTTGGCCACCACGGGGCAGAAAAAAGCAGCTTGCGATATATTACGGCAGCAGTGCTTTTTTCGTCGTAGTTTTCGACGGGTTGCCCTGGCCTTATGTTTGTATCGATCGCGTGCGAGATGGCAGTTACACGGCGCGCGCTCTTCACTCGAACTTTCGCGCTCCAAGTTGACAGACAGACAGCTGGGACGGTGTGGGACACTGGTCGGACGGTCGTGACGTGGGACGGCAGACGATGGGACTGGGCGACGACGTCGGGATCCTTGAACTTTGCCTGGCCACGCAGCCACTGTGGGAGGGAGTCGTCAAGAAGAAGGAGACGCGAAAGCCGTGTGGTTGTTAGCACGCGCTTTGTGTCGTCGAAAGTGGACAATGCCAACTCGCTCGATGAAGTGTCTGTCGTGTCGCAACACTGTTTGAGCTGCGTCGCCGCTCCGGTCGTTGCCGCTGACGGGTCGTTCTGGTCCAATTCTTTTGCTGGTAGCGCGGAATTGTCTGTCGAGGCGAAAAAGAGATCGTCAGGAGCTGCTCCAGTGGCCGTACCGACAAGTAACGATCAATGTGCGTGTGGAGTGCCCTCCCGACGCTCGTTTGCTTATTCGTGTCGAGCTGTAAGCATTGACAAGCCCAGAGTCGAGGGAGAGAGGCGGTCGACAACGGGTTACCAATCGTCGGAGAAACAGCGGCTGCTGCTACGGCTCCTGCGACCGACTGCTCCTCATCAACAACAACCTCTTCTTCGGTGCCACAAAAGAACTGATTCGACGGCGAGCGACCCCCCAAATGATGGTTTAAACCATCGATTCGTCCGCGTAAAAGCGTTTTCACGCGTGTAGCCATCCCGCGTCCTGGCCGAACACAAAAAGCCAACTCGACAAGGACGAAAGTCTGCTACTTCTATGTGCACCACACTATTCCACGCCCCCCACGACAAATTATGACGACGACGACGACCAGGAGCTCGATGGGTCTCATGGCGGCGCTCTACCGCGAGCTCGTGGCCGCTGCAGCGCTTCTGGACCGCCACGTTGCGCTCCGGACACTCGTGTCGTCGGACTTGCGCGTTTCGGTACTCGCTCCGGGCTCCCGGACGCGTCTGCCGCACGCAGAGGCGTTCAATCGCTGTCTCGATCGCTATCTCGGCGGTCGTCACTTTTATCTGCCCGATCTCCAGCGTCCGACGCTGCGGCAACTTGTGCGCGACGAGTTTCGACAACGTGCGAATGCAACAATCGGCACCGACGGTCTCGACACGGCGTTTGTGGCGCTGCGGGCGCTGAGTCGCACGCTCGCAGACGCGAAAGCACTGAATTTGCTGCCGCCTTCAACGCCTTTGACGCCGCGGGAAACGTGGACGCTGGACGACGTGCAATTGACAGCGTAAATGATAGCTTTTGGGTGCTGCTTGGACGGACACTGGAAGTGCAGGACTGACGCAAATGCTGCTGCTGTTGTTGTTGCTGTTGTTGTTGTTGTTGCTGTTGTTGTTGCTCTTGTTGCTGTTGTTGTTGTTGTTGTTGTTGTTGTTGTTGTTGCTGTTGCTGTTATTGTTGTTGTTGTTGTTGCTCTTGTTGTTGTTGTTGTTGTCTCTATTTGCTGTGGAAACAACCTGCACAGCGATGTAGCGTCTGGGGTGTTTCTGGTAGCTCATCCGCTGCTCGAAGGCGTCTTCGGTCGCTCTGTGGTGGTCTTGACGGAGCATACGCTGAAAGGATCGAAAGGGTATATCGTGAACAAAGTGTCAAAGAATCCGTTGAGACGCGCGTTTCGAGCGCCGTCACGTGTCATGCAAGTGTTTGGAACGAGTATTGTACGCAAGGGTGGACCCGTATTTGCGAGGAACGCAGAGGTGAGACAGCTTGTCGAGCGTGTGAGTGGTGTTAGACCGAGGCCAGTGCTGATTGAAAGCGGTGGGATGACGCATTGTTGCACGCAGGTGCTGCACGGAAGAGCGGACTTTGGGGGCGAGCGAGTGACGACGACGAATTTCCCTACTGCCAGTGATCCGAGTCTCTTCGTGGGTGTGGATCTGGATGTCGCAGCAAAAGCGGTCGGCGATGGAACTGCCAAGCAAACAGACGTTGTATTTATGAGTGGCATGTCGGCTTGGTCTCCGGGTCAATTGAACGCTGAAGTGAAGCAGGGCTCGTGGGTGCCTGTGAAGGCACCTGTGTCGCTTGCGCTTAACGCACCTGCAGAACTATGGCTGGACATCATGCGCACGATTGGCGGCGAGTACGCTGAAATGAGCTGCGTGCCCTCCATGGAAGAAGAAGCAGAGTAGAGAGTGCTTGAAGCGCCGTGTCGGATGTATGCTGCAATTTTAGTGCGGTCTCACGCGCGTTCCTTTTGGTTGTAGAGCGATCGGATCAATGCACGCGTGTTTGTTTGTGCTTCTTCTTTGCAACAAACAGGAAAAAGCGAGTGGCGAAAGTGGGCTGACTAGTCGATGGGGTCATCTCGAGACACTGCAGGATCTCCCACTCCATGCAATCGTTTTCATCGGACGCCACCCAGTCGAACATGTGGACTCGATTGCCTGGATTGCCAAACGTTAGCAAGACAAGCAGTCCATCAGGCTTTAACACGCGCGCCAGCTGCTGCATACTGCTTCTCGCATCACTAAGGTCATCAGGAGAGTCCAGCGCTACCTGTTTCCAGCTTGTTTCACCTCCATCCGTCTCAGGCCTGAGAAGCATCGCATCAAGGCAGCCTTTGTCGATCACGCAATCCACGCTACGCGAGTCCCAGTCCTGCATTCGGGTCAGATCTGCCTCGACAAACCGGACGCCCCATGCGTTTTCCTTCGACCGAGTCTGCATTTTCGCAACCACGTTTGCAGCGTAATCCATGGCCACCACACCTGTATAGCCGTCCAAAGCCATTTCAGCTGGTAATCGACTCGTGCCCGTTCCAACGATCAAGACTCGTGCCGTCTTGGACAGATACGACGCAAGCAGTTGACGAATGTGCGCGTACTCACAATACCAATCGAACTCTTCTTCGGTCTCAAAGCGGGCCTCCCAGTAGCTCTTCTTGCACAACCCCATCAACGAGAGTTTGCTCGCACAAGGCCGAACCAGCTCCATGCCCGATACAACGTCCTCTGTTGTCCATGCAATCGAGAACAGTTTCTGCTGCTCGATGCAGAAGATCGGCACTACCATGAGGTTACTCTCCTTGGTATCTTCACGTAAACTAGCCACATCGAAACAGCAGACAAGCAAACGCCAACTCAGTCAGCATCCGCCCCATTGACTCCCATCAGCTCAATCCAACAAGTGTACCTGGACCCGACAGCTTTCAGCACATAGTACATCATCTCGCTCGCGCTCGCTCCCAATCGAACCGAAAAGGCAAGTAAATGCAGCCTCCGCACAATCGCGTCCACCTCTCGCTCGACGTGGGCCTCTTGCTCGCTCTTTCCATCTCGTTCCTCCTGCTCTCGTTCTTCTCCTTCAATTACAGTGCCAATGAGACTCGTCATCTCGTGACGCAGCGCCTCCTCCTGTCTCAACTGCGCCTGTGCCTCTAAAACCGACCGAAACTCCCACATGTGCGCCACTTGCAGCACTGTCGACGCCTGTAATAGCGGTACTGTAGCCATGACCTGTCGCTTCCAGTGACTGGCACTTTGTCTCCGAAAAGTGCCCAATTGCGTCCGAGCGATTGCCGCAGAATCGCTGATGTCCATCCAATGTGTTCCTTCTTCAATGCCGTGCACACAGTCGTAAACATTACGGTACAAACGCCGTGGGACGTCGTAATGGGTCAATTGCGGTGAATGTAGTGTGCACCACGTCTCAAAGGACAGTGTACCCATTGCAGCGATCGTCGTCCTGCGCGGGTTCTTTTCACTGCCAGTCGGGAACTCGCTCGCGTCCCTACAACGTACTTGACGTTTGCATGCGGTTTTGAGTGGCTGGATAAGTGGTGACGCGGTATCAGTTCGGAGCGATGTACTTGTTTTACGAGAGTATCAAATTGCGCGAGTGGTAGATGCCAATATATAGGCTTCGAGGCGCGCGTGCTCCGATATAGCCGTAGAGCCTCTGCGTTGACACAAACTGTCGCAAACGTCAACTAAATGGATCGACACCGATTGTTGTGATCGAGCTGACATGCGTTTTGTACGTCAGTTCCCCTCCCTTATTGTCGAGGCTACATAGTGCAGCACCTCAACGGCCTATTCTGTATTCGTGTAGCTCCGTTGAGATACTCGAGTGTGAGAGTCAAGTAAACTTGCACATGTGTAGAGTCAACGCCAATCTCAAACAACAACGAGGACAGCGACGCAACGTGTCCTTTCATTCGTCGATCTCGAGAACAGTAGTCAATATGCCAACACATGTTCCACGAGTTTGTTTCGTTTTTCGCTTCGGATGACGTCTCGATGTAGCGTAGGTATGAGCAAACCGAATAATTGATTCGAATGTTCGGGTCGTATAGTCGAGATTGAACATTCGAGGCCTTTAAATTAATCGAACAATTCGACTGCCGAATATTCGAGTGCTCTGGTCGAAGATTAGTTTAAAAAGCGACGGTCACTTCCCAATTTGAGCTCTTCGACCTACAACGGTCAGAGACAAAGATCACCTGAGACGACTTGGCTTCTCTGCGCGTGCTACGGTAGGCGACGCAGCGTGCAACCCGAAAGTAAAGCAATGCCCCCATATTTCGCGGTACAAGGTATGTGACAGAGATCGATGTACCCGTGTTAACGTTCGTTTCTACTCACGAAGTGCATCACCTCGCGCCGACCCTTTTGGCTGTGTGTAGAGGTCGTTTGTGCAGAGCAAGCCCCTGACCAAGATATTTTTCGTCGTGTGGTACGCCAGGAAGGTATGCACTAGTTGTGCAATGGGATGGGCGTAAAGATCAGAGCAAGTCGATCACCACGGAAGCGGTCAGGAATTACGTCAAGATGGCAGGCTAGGAATTACGATGTGGATCAGGCCTCCTAGTCATGCACCCTCCATCCTTTGAAGCAGATGCAAGCGTGACGCGACGCGCAGTCCAGCCATACGGCCAAGAGTGAGCACAAAGTTCGAACCCTGGATTTGGTCAGCAGTAATTATTACGTGGCCTTTCGAGAGTGTCCCCCGTGACGTCTGTAGTATCAAGCCATCCGACCGAGAAACGTGGAAGGAAAATGTTCGTGTCTTGGTAGATGACAGAGGTGGTTTCCATCCTACTTTCGTCTCACAAGTGATAAATAGCTCTAATATAGACGAATTGACCTCTTGGTAAGCGAATCTTGTAGCTGCTAAAAAATATATTGATCCTTTAGCGTACTACTTGCGTGCCTTCCAATTAATCCAATTCCTAAGGCAGCAACTTGCGCGAATGGTGCGTGTAACGGGGCAATGTTGACTACGTACTGGTTGACCAGTACGGAGTATACTTCCACTGACGACAGTGGTCGACAATGCCCTGCTAGGTATTGAAGGAACAGAAAGGAAGGAAAGGAGACTAAGTAGTCAGACTAGTCTCTGGTAAAAGTAGAACTGTATTAATATAATTAAGTCCTACAACTTCTTGAATCCCTGTTGTCCTGACTTAATTATACTAATGAAACTAAATGTATGATGGCGTCTACTTACCACCCATTGCGCGCGTCTAGCAGCGATTGGTGGAGTGATATCGTCACGATATCAACCAATGAGTAGACCATACAGTCATCTCAACAATATCACCGTGTCTGTGATATTGTTAAAAGAATATTCGACGTAATATTCTTTACTGTCATATTGTTCTTAATGACAATTGCATGTAACGGGCTACCCCGTTACATCACCCCTCCCTTATCTGATAGTCACTGTGTGACTATCGAAAACTTGGTGGCCACCCGTTGGACACCAGTGGGACAGGGATCACTTGTTTGGTCAGACCCATTCACTCCTGACCCTGCCTCGCATAGTTAACATGTCTATGCGAGGTGATTTGAAGACCTACACAGCCTGCTGCTGTGCCAGCCTCTGCGGCAGACTCTCCTTCGTCTGCTGCTTGTTCTCCGTCTGCAGCAGAAGGTGATGCAGACGCTCGCAGTATCGCACCACGTGCACATGATGACCTTGTCAATGAGGTCATCAATTATGGCGAGTCAGACGTGCCTGACTCGCGCAACGTTCCAGAGGCAGATCGATCACCGGCGGTGCCTCATCGTTCGTCAAGACCACTGCCGAACGATCGGACTCGTGAAATGCAACACAGTCTGTTCGGCAGTGATGGTGAATCTTTGGTCAGGAATACTATTCCTCACCAGCATCAACTCGTGCTTCCCCGCAAAAGCTTGATGAAGATGGCTAGAGCCGTCGTCATTCTGGGAGCCGTGGTACCAAAACAGGTACCATATTGAAGCGTGGTGAGCTCAAGCCGTGGCGCTTGCCCGACCCGCTCATCGATAGCCTGTCTCACAAGACAAGCCAGCACCATCGAATTCCATTATTCAATGCAACTGAGCTTCACGGGTTAAGTCCCAGCGCGAAAACTTTCGCGCTGAAATAGATTTTTATCTCGATGCTTTCCTCAAGCGTCGATGGTACAATGGTAACCAAAAGCGTGACAAGGCTCCGCTTTTGGCTGCATGGAACGCGTTTTTTCAAAATTTCAAGAACTTTGGACGAGAAGGGTGGCTTAAGAAGCTTGAGGCGATACGCATCAAGTTCAAAAAGCGAACGCCAACCGGTGCAAGGTACCGGTTTCATTGTTTGTCAAGTGAGGCCGGCATTCAATTCCTCACTTAAGGTGATCCTTGTGCGAGATATGTCGACAACTCGCAACGTGCACATAGGGACGTGTATTCCCTAAGTTTGCCCTGGGGAAGGGCTCACATCTCGGTCGAGATGCGGGACGCGATTGCAAACTTGCAATCCGTCTACAAGCGCCAAAAGCGCGTGTTTACCGATGGGCCCTCGGACCAATCGGATGAGTCTCGTCATACTGGTGGACGAGACCTTCAACGTCAGCCATCAGCTGGGAACGAGTTTCCCAGCTGTTAAAGGAAGGTGGGTACCCACGCCACCGGACGAGGTAACTCGTCCTTGATTCTGAATCTCCACGGTTGTTCAAGACACGCTCCACAAGAAAGCGTTGACCACCGTGGGAATCCACCAGTAGTTTTGGTGGCGGTGGAAAGACAAGTTCCGGCTCAGCCGCCGGGCCTGCACGAGACTTTGGGCAACCACGAGCGTTACCTGACCGAGCTAAGGGAGGACGTCGAGCACGAATACAACCGACGGCACGCCTTGAAGTCGGACTTGCGACGTCTTCGTGCCGATCGAGAGAAGGACCTATCGGAATTCGCGTTCGCTCAGCTTGAAAGTGAACGCGAGAGGCGTCGTTTTCGCGGCGAACCGTCTCTAGCTCGTCGCGAGGCCGCGTCGACGAAAGACCAACTCATTCCGACAAAGGCCCAACTTCAGTGTTTTGTCCGTGATCACAAGAATCTGTTGGGGATTCTTGAGCGCGTCGGTTATCTCCGTTCTCGCAAGAGGCCTCATACTGATGGTACGGGCGGAGACGACCAACATAAACGTAGGATGCGTGCGCATTGGACGAGGCAATTCGATCGTATACTCATTGCCCTTGCGGTGCAACACACGAAAGGGACCAATATATGTCGGCATCAGTTTTCTACTGCCGACACTAGTGACTACATGTCCAGGTAATTTTACCGTAGACAGTAGTACTAGGTCGTTAACTTTAAATAAAAAAACATTTGCTCTTCCATTATTGTCTGCGTTCCGTTTCTGACGGTCCACCGCATTTGCGATGGAGTCCTGAACGAAACGGACTACCGCCTCTCGATTCAGCAGGAAATTCTCTGCTAACTCTTTGTTTTGTCTGGCAGTGCGCTTCGTGCGCACTGCTAAGAGATTGTTCTCTTCTTCAACGAGGTTGTCTTCTATCTCGCTGGCATAATCGTTGACGATTCAGAATATCCAGAATCGTCATTATTGTCTGGTGTAGCAGCAGCGTCATCGCTACTGCTAAGCTCGATTTTCTCGATGTCGACGTTGTCGACATCGGAATCAAACGTATCGGCGTGAGCGGTGATACGTGATGATCAAGAGCCAAAACGGGTTTTGATCGAGCGAGTCCCTCCCCCTCTCAACCTATAGTCACTATGTATTAGGACGGGAATACGTGGGTGGCGTAAGACATTCACGTAGAACGGTGTATGCGTTGTGGACGCATGCACGGAGTCGTTGATGGCAAACCTAACCATCTGTAAAAACTCACTCCAATGTGAAAAGGAGTGGACGTATCCACGATGAATTTCTTCGAGGACACGGTTCGCTAGTTCATTCTGACTATCCTTTTCGGGATGATCAGAGGTTTACATCTTCAACCGTGTTACCAATGTGTGGAACAAGGATTGCCAAAACGCCGCCGTGAACCGAGAGTCATGGTCGGATACGAGTTCACGGGGTAAATTGTGGAGTCGAAACACAGTGTCGATGAAGACACGCGCACAGCCGTGGGCGTTGATCGATTCTGGGACCGCAGCAAGATGTACCATCTTGCTGAAACGATCCACAAACACAAGAATACCATTATTCTTGTTAGTGTCTTCGGGAAACCCGAGCTCAAAGTCCATGGACACGGACTCCCAACACTTTGCTGGGACGGGCAGAGGTTGTAACGGTGCACTGGATGCAGGAATAGGCTTCACCCGTTGACAAACCTCGCAAGCACGTATGTACTTGCGAACAAACTGATACTGGCGGGGCTAGTAGAAGTCACGACTGACCGTGAGGTAAGTCTTCTCCCTACCATGATTCCCGCCTGAAGGCGCATCGTGACATTCGAACATGATTC